TTGTTGGTAATAATATATAAAATTTTTTTTTTTTTTTTTTTTTAGGAAGCCAAAAAGGATCCTAAACCAAAAAAGCCAGTCGCTAAAAATTCAGTTAAATCTCTTTGCATAGAGGTGAATAAGGTAAGTTCTGACATGGTGGTTATCTCATAATGAGTTAGTATATAGCAAAAAGTTAAAATCTCAGCTTTTTTTTTTTTAATGTTGCCGATGTATAACTTTTTGTGTCTTTTGGATATTTGTACATGTATGTTTAAAGTCCACCTTTTATTTGAAATATAAAAACTACACAATTAGTTTAGGAGTTCACTTTACCTCTTATTAGCTGGAATGCTTGTTAGGAATACAAGAACAGATGTTTGAATACACATCACCTTTCCTTTAAATCTTGGGCACCTAAGACCATGAAGAATCGTGAGCTTTACACACACCATCTTCCACTGACTAATGGTCAATAGCTGTTTATGGTCTTCTACTTGTCTCCATAATGAATGGAGGCTATTGCAGAACACTCAGGATGTTGGCATAGATGAGCAGAGCAAAAATGCCTTGTGCCCTGCAATTAACCCAGCTTTTAAGTAATTTAGTGGCGTGAGCCAGATATCACTGTTAAGTCCAAAGTCTTTAGGGCTGCAGAAGAACTATCTTCCACGGTGCTTAAAAGATATGAAATCAGTAGATAACCCAGTCTACAAATGTCCATTCTAAACTATTTTTTTTTTTTAAATTTCCTTTAATAATGAGCAAACCTACCTATATGGATAAAAGGAGTTTGAAGCTGAGATAAGGGCTTACATAAATGACTTCCCTAATTTATGGTATTTGGGACATTTCAAACACATAAAGCAATAAGGCATTGGAGGCTGGCAGAAATCTAGCATTATATTCAACTTGCATGTAAGCATAGATTTTTATGCATGTCCTAATTTCAATGCAGGCGATTAAGGCATCTGATGTAGTCCTGGAAGTGTTGGATGCTAGAGATCCCCTGGGAAGCCGATGTCTGCAAGCAGAACAAATGGTTCTTCAGTCACCAAACAAGAAACTGCTGCTTGTCCTCAATAAAATTGGTAATTACATCTTGGAAGCTTGGATAACCTCAATTGTTGAGCTGATTCATTAAAATTATAGGAAAGATTGTCTATTAAATTACTTTTGTACTATTATATTCTATAAAAGCAAATAAAAATCTTATTGAGAAAAAAAAAACTATAGGAGAGAACTCTTGATAAGTTTACTTTCCGGTAGTAACCATTTAGATTTGACCTCAGAAATAATTTGGATTATTCTCTGCGGGGTAACAGTCCAGTTTGTGCATATGTTCTTCTCTCCCGTTTTAATCAGCCCTATAATGTTTTGACAGATGCAATGAATGATGAGAATATGTCATGCAGTCTGAGCTAATAGTGAAGACTTCAGATCCAACTCTGATCTTGTGTTCTGAACTAACAAGAATTATGAAACATTTTTTATTTTTTTAGTAACTCGTAGTACTGTTAATCCAGATCCATATGTTCTACTGCTAAATGCAAAACTTATATTGGCATTGCAGTAGTTTCATTTAAAGTTGTTTTTCCTAGATCTAGTCCCAAAAGAGAATATTGAGAAGTGGCTCCATTTCCTGAACAAAGAACTGCCAACTGTCGCCTTCAAATGTTCTACGCAAGTGCGTGAAAAAAACCTGGTAAGTTATTTATTGCCCAAGAGGAGTTTACTGTATTTAAACAGGCCTAGCTGATTCAGACATATTTAAATAGTTTTAATTAAAACATGCCCAACCTGTTTTCTGTGATATGTATGATAAGTTGTCTGATCTGATGTCTTTGATGAACACAAGATCCAACTCTGAGATCAGCATTTGTTCTCAGAACACGTGTCTTCATGGATACATCTTATCAACCCAAAGGCTCCTATCCTTCACAATCTGCAGTAAGGAGCTTTACATGTTATTACTTTTAGAGTGCTAGTGCTTGAAAAAACTAGTATGAGCCATATTGTTCCTTAAAGGGAAACTGAAATATAGGAGTAATGGAAGCTGGCATTTCTGACTTCTGCTTTTGAGGTTCTTCGGCTCTCATGCTGATGTGGCTTCTGTGCGGTCTTGAGTGGCTGACCTGGATCAGGTATAGAGCTATAGAATTCTAACACTTGTCATGCTAGTTTTGGATCTTTGAAAGTACTGAAGTCACACCTAGTCAGGCATCTTGCATTATCAGAAGGCCACCTATGGCAACTCCTGTACTTATCTTGTCATGGAGTCAGTTTAAAGAAAACTTTAAATGACAAAATATCTGTTGCAAAGCATTTTGTAGGCAGTAATGTTTGCCTCCGCCAGTCAGTGCTTTAGTAAATTGCAGTGCCAAGCACCTCCTAATGCTCCACCATCAACAGTAGTCTTATTAGTTGGCCGATTAACTTTTTCAGTTAATAGGATACAAAAAAATTAAATAACATCCTTCATATAAAATACACAAATGCAGTGTTCAGATCAGAATAAAACTGCATGCACAATAAAATACACAAATGCAGTTTTTACTTCAGAATAAAACTGCATGCACAATAAAATACACAAATGCAGTTTTTACTTCAGAATAAAACTGCATGCACAATAAAATACACAAATGCAGTGTTTACTAAAGAATAAAACTGCATGCACAATTTTTTGCAATCGCAATGCATGACATTGCGGTACTGTGCGATCACACTGTGGGTGTTTACGGTGCCATTTAATTGAATGGCACTGAAACGCATCTCCCACAGCAGAATTTGTCAGGCCGAAAATGACTATGTATTGTAAGCACCATGGTTCTTGAATAGCTTCAGCCAGGGAATGGCAGCTGCCAGTGGCAAGATTCCACAGACGGCAGCTAAATGTAAATGCAGCAGGTAGTGAGCTGGTGCAATAGCAGGCTGGCTATTATATCCGCCCACTGCTTGCTGTGCCCTCTCAGCATGGAGGAGAGAGGGGATCCAACCAACTAATCGATAATGAGACTAGTTGGCAACTAGTCTCATTATCGATTTAATCAATCAGCTTGGCTTATTTAACTTATACTTAAGATTGTATAATTATTAAAATAGTCACACTGCGTTTGTGGTCTGTGTAACCACCTTTTAGCCACATCTTTTTATATATTACCAACAAATTAAGTATTCTGTGCACTAAATTTAATTTTAGTGTATTTTATCCTAAAAACAGTTTGAGAAACATTTGTGCAAAAATCTTGCGACACAATAAAATTGCAACTAGCATTTTTTTTTTATTCTACAGGGTCTCTGCTTTCATAAAATATGTAATTGTTTGCCAAACATTTAGATTGCATCATGTGTGTGCAATTAGTAAGAAATTGCTCTGGGCAGCAAGTGGTTAATATCTATGAATTCAGTAACAAATTAATGTTTTTTTTTTTAAAATCTTTAAGCCAAGTAATGGTCCAAAGGAAAAGCCTGGCTCGATTGATATTTCTCGAGGGACTGTGTGCTATGGAGGAGATTCTTTACTGCGCATCCTACACCGCCTCTGTCCATCTCCTAATGAAAATATTAAAGTTGGTTTAATAGGTAAGAAAGTGTGTGGTGTAAAGCTGTATAGTAAATGAGAAATGAGGAGAACATGCTAAAAGTCTGATATCTTTGATGACTGTCAGATCCAACTCTGATCTCATTTGTTTGCTAGGTTTGTGTAATCTCAAGTTCCTTTATAACTTGGTGTACCTGGAGCCTGTCAAAACTGCAATATGCACATTTGATCTTACACATACCATTTACAAATAAACATCTGTAAAATGCGTCCTTTCACCTGTCCGCTTTAATGCTGTAGATGACCCTATGATCTTGCTTAGACATTAGCAAGATTTAGACCAGTGATATTGGAGACTGCCAAAAATGGACTTATGGACATTGCTGCACGATAACTTACAATAAACTCAAATTTGTATAATGTATAAATATATCTTTATCATCCATACCCTACCTACACACTAAAAATTCATAGCAGGGCCCCTTTCCAAAAACTTGTAAATATATAAATAAACCATTACACAGGTAATTGTAAAGTGCCACAGTGTCATATTCCTTCAAAACCACTTGTAGTCCAAAAATGATCAATTTATCCAAAAATAATCGGGTTATTTCTTCAAAAACACTTGTCCGAAAATGATCAACTACCAAAAAAAATCATGTAGCACACTAGTGGGTGGTTGTGAAAAAATATATAATAAACTGTTTATAAATCAGTCGTCATGAACAAAAATGTTTACAATTGTGGACTCCCAGCAGTGGTTATAAGAAGGATGCAGGTGTTAAATCTACAAACATTAGTGAGAATAAGGTAGCTATTGGTGCTTGCGTAGATGTTAAATCATCTTTCAGATCACCTGTGTCCAAAGCTGGTTTTTATCTAACATTTGTTATTTGATTGTTTGAGCCCACATGAGCTATACACATTCAAATGGGTTGTTACAATTTTTGATAAAATAAATCTTCACCTTCTTGCTTATGATCACTGCAAACATGCAATTGCTTGTTACAATTGTTTATGACAACATCTTGTCAGGTTCTTGCAAATAGTTCACTTGAAACATTAAGTATCGCTGTTTTCAGGCAGCTTGTTGCAATCGCTTCTATATATTAGGCCAGTGTATTAGTTTTATTTTTACTGAAGACAAAGCATTCCTCTGTAGGATTAGCCCTTTCCTTAATAGGATGGAGGCTAAGTGGAAAAAATTATTTGCTTTTGCAAGTTAATTTATGAGCACTATAGTCCATATGGAAAATAAGCACCTTCATTTGATGTTTTTATTCCAGGATTTTCAAATGTCGGAAAAAGCAGCCTAGTTAACAGCCTGAAGCAGTTCAAAGTGTGTAATGTTGGTGCGTTGAAAGGCACTACAAGGTAAGAGCTTTGGTCTAAGTGTCTGACTGTCTTGTGTCTAATGAGTTGCATGATGACAGATTGGAACTGACATTTCAATGGAGGCTCCATTCAATCCAACTCTGAAGCTTTCAGTCTTTCATTTGTTCTGTATTTACCCTTGTTAGATTTGATGCTATAGGCTTTGATATTCTTTCCTCAGGATCATTCAAGATGTAAACGTTGACCAAAATATTAAAATGACTGACAGTCCCAGTCTTGTGGTTTCTCAGGACAATCCACCTGTCACTCTAGTAATGAGAAACGTGTTTCAAAAGGAGGATGATGACCTTTTAGAGGCTGTTAGAGTGATTTTAAAACATTGTGACAAACAGCAGGTGCGTGATGTGATGTTTTTTTGAGATTTGATTTAGATTGTTCATCATCATACAGTACACTTGTAAAGAGATTATATGTGCTGTCCTCCAGAAAATGCTAGTGGCCTGACTGGCTTAAATATTTCTAAGCTACTGAACTAGAACAAACATGCCACAAATTAAAAGCCAAATCCCTTATGTCTGTACTTGTTCCACTTCATTATCCAAAATTATTGAAGCTGCAGCAACATGACTGCCAGGACACTAACATTTTTAGAATTCTGTATTGGCAGGCTCATTATTCTCTCATGACTGGTGTCCACTAATGTGTGTAATTTTATTACTTGCTTGTGTACCTCCTCACTATCTCCAGACTATTTTTATAACTAGGGAGATTTCATCTCTAATCTCAATGCACTCCTATATTGTACTACTATTAACTCTATTTTAATCACATTGTTAAGGCCAATGGTGATTTGTGATACTTACAACAGAACACTGACAGTGCCATGTACACATGCATTTCATCAGATTAATCCTATAACAGAAATTACTGGCAGTTGTGGACTTCTGATAGGAGCAAGTTGCAATGAGATAAAATGCCGAACTTAGCAAGAGTTCACACAACTTAATATTTTATACGGCACACTTTTAACTTCAAGTGACTTCTTGAAAGAGGGCTAACTGAATCATCATTCTACTAGAGAGGTCAGGGGGACCTTTAGAAGCTGGTTGGAAAACCTTCAAACGAATAGAGCCGGCAGCCCATTAGCTCTGTTCAGGTATTCTGATAGCAGCCAACGGCCACTGTCAGAATACAATGAAGACGGCAGGAGATTCCTCGATCAACACTCTAATTGCTGAAGAATATCTGCTATATTTTCTTCTGCCCGCAGGTTGGACAATGAAAATAAGTGTATGGCCAGCTTTAGTTCAGCTCTTGTAAAAAAAACTAAAACTTACCCTCACTCTTGGGAGTGATTTTGTACACTTTTGTTAGTGAATTGATCTCCCCTTTTTATGCTTGTAGATAAAAGGATTTGTCTATTCTGTGTATTTTAACATTCTTAGTATATGGTATGAACATAAGATATATTTAATGAAAAGACTTGGCACTGTTAAAATGTGGAAATGTCATTGTTTTAAATATATCATATTAAACATTTTTTAAAGAAAACAAAACACCAGGCATGAAGATGTTGGCCCTGATTCTGACCTGCAAGGCTTCTGTTATGAGACTTTCAAGCAGACAAAAGGCATTTCACACTTTTGGTATAATGCAGTATATTTGCAAAGCAGAAGTAAAATAGTTCTATAGTTGTGTGCTCACTACTACAAAACAAAATAAAAAAATGTCCAACTAGCTTTTACAAAATGACTGCTTGATTTTGCGGGTTGTCTGACATTAGTTTGATGCAATCTTTTTTCACAATATACTTAAATGTTTTGTATCCGTTTTGTTTTTCTGTCTAGATCATGTTGCTGTATAATATTTCAGACTTCAGGAATTCCCTGGAGTTCTTAGACCTGGTTGCCCGCAGGAGAGGCCTGCTGATGAAGGGAGGAGTAGCAAATGTGAAAGAAGCAGCCAGGCTGTTCCTGGATGACTGGATGGGGTGAGGATGTTGTGTTTAAAAAAAAAAAACAACAACAAACATTGCATTTCTGTTCTGTTTTAAGATGTCCTGATATAAAATCAATAATTTGTCTTCTTCAGAGCCAGGCTTAGTTATCATACTCAGCCACCTTCATCCTCCAGCTGCCACATCAGCAGTGATCAGAGAGGTGCAATGCGAAAAGGGGTTAACCTAAAGGCTCTGGATGAGGACAATAAAAGCATTATTAAAGGTAAACTTTATTCAATGACTTTCCTTGATTTGGTTGGTGGCATCCAAAATGGTTATTAAATAGAATGGTTGTGGGAAAGCACCATCTATAAGCCACCTAGGCTGCAGTGTTCTCCATAGAGGCTTTTAGTTGGGCTTTCTGGCAAGCTATTCTCAGTGATTGGCTTACTGCCTTGGGGGATCTCTGCCAGCATGTGTACTGCTGCTAGTAGTGCAGTACAGATTACATCATACAAAGGAGCCTGGATGTGGATAGAGTGCGCACAGCCACGGACTTCTGCAAGATCCTGTGACCCAAATACTATTTCTCTTGTGTTGAGGTATAGGAGAACTGGGGCTGTGCCATGCTAGCTGCCTTGATGCTGGTCAAACCTGTGAGGTATTGCCCGATTGCACTTGCTTGCTGGTGGAGGATTCTGCAATGTAACAGCCCAGAGAGGGAGCAATACTACAGGAGCAGGTGAATGCTAGTGTGGCGTTTAGAGGAATATTTATTTTTGGTGGAAGTTTGAACGCTGTTTAGACATTGACCGTGCTGCTGTGGTAGGGGCAGTAAAAGGGACATTTTTGAAATGTAGTTTTGGTGAAAGCTGGGGAGACTACTACAAGGAAGGCTTTCTGAACTGTAGCACAGGGGAAAAGCATTGAGGCTTCACTGTCTTTCAGGATTTTATAAAAATATAATTCAGTTTTAGTTGTAGTTTTTTTTGTAGTTTTGAAATGTTTCCATTTCTCTGATTCGACACCATACCCTTTTATTTAAAGTGACACTAAACTCAGACATTAAATAATAAAAATAGCTTCTATTATATAAATAATAAATTACTCTGTACTTTTTTTTGTGGTAATTCAGCTCTAAAAGCCCAAAAAAATCAATTTTTTTCCCCAGCCACAACTTCCTGCCAGAGGCTGACTACTTGTCTTAGGTCCCTGTGTGTGCTGAAAAGTAGCCAGCCTCTGTGCTGGTTCATGTGAAGCACTACAACATGCTGAAGGCGTGTCTTCTCAGTCTCCGCCCACAAATCCTCCCCTCTAGACTCTGCGAGGAGCTGGGATTTCTTCAGCAGCAGGCTGTTTCTCTCGCACACTAATATAGGATATTTGATTTCTCTCCTCCTGGCATTCTAAGGAGGGAGGGTGGGGGCAGCTGCTTGTGAGGAGATTCAGCATGTGAGCTGTCACCAGCCTCTTTCTCCTGAGTCTCAGCTCACATGCTGAAACTAGTCAAAGAGGATACGGTTTCTGCATTTGAAATATTTTTAATTTTTTTTAAATTATTTTTTTACTTTAATTTTAGGAGCTTCAGGGAAATATTAGGGGTCTAAACAGACCCCTGATATTTCCCTTTTAAAATAGAAAACGAAATTAAGGACCACGAGTCCTCAATCTCTTTCTGCCGCCCCTGTTATAAATGAAAAGGAATCCTATGTGAGTGTTCCTGTTCATTCATAACATGAGAACATAGTGTGTTTACTATAACCACAATCGTGAATGACCAGGAGGTGATGTAGATCACTTCCCGTTCATTCATATTTTAGGATACAGTAACCATACTATGTCCTCAATTATTTACTAACACTTGGCGGTCACTGATCGCTGAGGGTTTGTACCTCGCTTTCCTTCCTAACAGCTGTCACAGGAGGCTGAGCGAGTGGAGCTCAGCCTCCTGTGACAGCACTGCAAGCTGTCTCCACCCACACTGCTCTCCCGATCTGTGACAGGAGGCTGAGAGGTGTGGGAGGAGAGACGCTGGCCGCTCACAGCGCTCGGACACAGAGCAGCGCCCAGCGGGGAGGAGAGAAAGAACGTATGGACCGCTGTATCGGCCAGTAAATGGCACATTATGCCAAAAGTGCAATTTTTAGCCGATATATCGGTGCATCCCTAATTAGTTTTGATAATTCAGAGCATTGTAGAGGCGATTACAAGCAGTTACACTGTCACGGTGTGTTTAGAGAGGAGAGGGAGGGGGCAGCTGTCTGCAGTGAGAGATGATTCCTCTCTGCCTCATGGGAGTTGTAGGCAAAGAAAGATGTGTGCATGACCAGAATCAACATGCGCGGCTGTTACTAAGGGACATGTGAGGTGTGACAAGAGCAACGGGAGTGAGCACAGCAGCACTTTCTAAAGGGATTACAATAGTAAGACTTTTTTTTATTTGAAAACATAAATAAATGTGGCTTTGGAGAATATTCATTGTGTAGATGTGTATGAGAATAAAGCTGACTGTTTTGTGTCACTTTTAACGTAGATTTTGATCAAAGATGACATACCTGCTGTAATTCAAGAGGGAGTCATACCTCTATATGTGTTCTTGGTGGTAATGTGAGCTGTATTTGATGGGTTTTTTGTTGTCTTGCAGCCTTGAAGTGCCCAAGTCCTGCCAGCAGTATTGCATTTCATTTCTCACAGATGACCAACTGTATACTAGATGATACTGAACTAGAGGAGCAAAACCCAGAGCCTGAAGAGCAGGAAAGTGAGCAGGAGGAGGAGGAAGACAAACATGCTGATGAGGAGGAAAGGATGGAGGAGGAGGAGGAGAAGGAGGAGAATAGTGAAGAGGTAATATACAAGAATAGACTGAATACCAACATACAATCTACAAAATGTTACAGCTTTTAGTTTGGTTAATTCTGAAATCAACAATTCACTTAATATGCTTTCATGTTATTTGGGGTATATGTCGCCTAAGGCAGTCCAGATGTAGATGTTTCTGTATGTGTATGTATGTCCTAATATATTTATGCTTTTATCACGTTTTGCAGAAAGAGCCAACAAAGATTTCTTTGACACTTGCAACTAAACAAACAGGTATGTGTTCCTAAATTGGCACAATTTCCTCAATTGTGTGAAATTCACCTAATCTATTATCTTAAAGCTGAATGCCAAAATGAATGCAGCAAGGTGTTTTTTTATGCAAGCAGTGTATATACCTGGGTTTGATGTTTATTTTCAAGATCTTTGTAATTCATGGACACACTGTCAGTAGATTGCTATACTTTTAAGGCAATCTTTTCCCCCCTAATTAAAAGGAGATTTCCAGGAAAATGGATATCACCTTTTTTCTTTTGGAGCATCTCAGTGGAGGGATTATTGCAGCAAGCCAAAAACAATAGCAGACCGTGGAGCTGCATATTGTTTAAAATGCTCAGTAAACCGATGTCCAAACATATAACTATAGGAAATCATACTTTTTATGGCCTGCCTTAGGGTTCCATGGGGAATCATACTTTATCAAGCTGCAGTACAGACTGAATCTTGCGAAAACCTGGAGTCTTAGGAGGAGAGGCTCTCTGTGTCTCTACTTAGATTGGTCCCAAGGCAAAGTATGTCACGTTTTCGTAGAAATACCCTCAAACGCCAATAATTCTGTTACCATCCACCCCAGCTAACATTGTAATATACAGTTTTATTTTGTTTTAGTATAGAAGACAAAACACATTTTTTGTAAGATGTTTTTTTTTTTTTTTTCCTCCACAAGATAGTAAGCAGTCCATTTTGTGGGTTAGAATTTCACAGCTGGAACTCTCCCGCACTGCAAGGATTAAATGCTTGTTTCATCAAAGGTGAAAAGAAAAAACAACTTTACGTGACTTATTTCTCGCTTCCCTGGCAGTTGGCATGCTTCTCCCTAACGCTGATGCCTTGGGTTGTGGGTGGGTCCTCAGGGTCCCACTGACATTGCAGGACTGCTGGTTCTGCATTGTAGGTGACAACACAGAACCTGCAACTAATGGAGCAGTGAGGAGAAGAAGCTTTGGGGATCAGTTTTGTAGCTGGGATGAAACCTGCAGTTTTGAGAAATAAAATGAGCTTGGTTTTTTTATGTTCCCCCTACACAAAATAAGCATTCAACCCTTCAGTGCAGTGGCAGCCCCACTGCAAGGGTAATTTTTTTTATATTTTCCAGACTTCAGCTTTAAATTATAACAAAAATAATTTTTATCCTTACTTGGCACCCATACTTGGCAAAGTTTCAGTTTTTTTCTTGTATTAAATTTATTTTAAAATTTTCTTAAAACAGATGATTCGGCTAAGGAAAGTGCTAGCAAGTCAGTCCGGTTTGATAAACCGGAGGAAGATCCTGATGATGCTTATGACTTCAATACTGATTTTTAACTGAGAAAACATCGGTACTATTGCAGCGTGATGGGCCCACTTTATTCCTTCCTTCATTGTATGGGTGTGAAGAGACTTTTTTTTTTTCTTTGTAGTCTTGCGCAAGACTTGCTCTTAATTGACTGGCTGTCATATATAGTGGATTCTATGAATCTCTCGATGTATACAAGGCTGTGTTTGTGGAAGGTGTATTTGAATTAAAAACAAATTTGATAAAACTGTGTTTACTTTTTTTCTTGTGCAATAGTTTTATTTGCAGGACATATATTTCCATATGTGCATACCATGTACATATTTTTAAGTTGAAATAACAAAATAAGGTGGTCTCAGCATTGAGAAAATTACACATTTTGCAATGTGTAGATCAGGGACGCCCACAATTTTTCGTCTGGAGATTGCCTTTTCAAATGACGAGCTCAATGAGATCTACCAATGGAAAAACACCTGCATTCAGTGGGGGAGGGGGCGTGGTGGTGCATGGAGTGTCACTTCTCCCAGTCGGCTCGCTCGATCACCGGACAGACTGTAGCAATTCAGTATATCTCTCCATCCAACAGACACATTGACAGAGACACAGCCATAACAAGCACAGTTCCATTAATACACTGTATACAGCAGCCCTGTGTGTAATGTCTGTTCAGCAGCTCTACGCACAGGGAATTAATCAAGATGTCTTCTTTCAGCCAGACTACACTCCCCTTCCTTCTCACAGCACTCTGGGACACGTAGTCTATAACAGCCAGTCCAGCAAGAATTTTCCTGAGCAAAGAACTCGTGCCCCATTTGTCTCTGGTAGCTGAAGCGCTCCGGTCAATTGCAACATTAGATCTGTCTTTGGGGGCCGGTTCACACCACAAAGAGAGCGTTCAGCCTCTGGAATGCAACCTGGCCAGCTCCCTGCAGGAGGGGCGTGGTGGTGCATGAAGTAAATGGTACTGCAGCTGAATGCATGGGACATTAGTGCCTCCGGTCCAATGTAATCTGCAAAAATAGTGCATGCTGTATTTTTCCATTCCTGCTTTCTGTGTTCCCTGACCTTGCTCAGCTGACTACCCAGTTTGGCAACTTACCTCTGGCTTTGGGAAAATCCACTTAATCAGCAAGGTGTGCCTGGCACCAAACAGTGCCCTAGTTACTGCAACTGTGATGTAGGGATCTGACTCCAAAGTATCTACAACCCCAAGAGTGCATCTTAGGGGGTTTACTGAGATAAATACAGCAAATGCACCCCTCCAGTATCTCAATAACTTAGGGCACCTCCTTAACGGGTATATCAGAGAAACCGGTGTTAGGGCAATTTTTATCTATCCTAATGTCAATCTTCTGGGGAAATTCAGGGGTACGATAGACCATATGTAATATAAACAGTTGAGTCAACCAATGGGAAGCCGAAAGGGAGACCCGGGCCACCGCTGCCAGAGCCCCTTCCACTCCTCTGTCAGTTGCCCAGCATCGTAACTCCCAACCCCGCCTACACTGAAGAGAATGCTTATGCAAAAATTGAGGCAATAGAAGTGAGTAGATGAGACCCTTCCCTTCATAACTTTGGCCTTAAGAACTGGCTCCACGGTTTTAATAGGGTCAGTTCCTCCCCCATACATCTAGCACAATCCACGCACCCCTGAATTTCTCCACCCTCCAACACCTTGGAGCTTAGCAACTTCTGGTATCCGCCCGTTATTCCACAGCAGAGTATATTGTGTAAACCCTGTAATCCCTAAAAGGGACTTAACGAGTCCCACACCTTCCCTATGTGTCTAACCATAGGCATGATTGTATAGACCCTAACATATCGATCTGTTTCTAACAGAGAAAAGGGGTCCATTCCACCAAACAAACTGTGTAGCACATCAATAATCGGAGACCTATATCCCTCCTCTGTCCATCCAACAAAATACTGCATTTGAGACCCAAGAAAGTACAGCCATGAGTTGGGGACCAAACGACCCCCCCTCCTCAGGATGTTGCAAGATTTCTAGCATAATACGAGGTTTGTTACGCTATGTTAGTTCTCCATAGTTTCCTTGCCATACCCATGGCAGCGGGTCTTAGATCCATTTACTCCTAGCTGACAGGAACCAAAAGGGTTAAACAAGGCATAGCCCTCTCCATAAAAGCTCCTCCTCCTGCTGACTTCCCCAGTTTCCCAACTGACTCTAAGACCTGATAACCTACCAAATTCCAATAACATCACCATAAGAAGAGAGGCAGAGGTGTCTGCTAAAAATACCAGAGGATCATCCGCATATAAAGCAATTTTATCTTCATTTCCTGTTCTAAAGCCTGCCACTGCAAAAGCAGATTTCAGCAAAGGGCTTGATTGCCAAAGCAAATAAGGGGGTATTGGACACCCTTGCCTGGTCCCCCTGTACAACACAAAAGGAGATGTAATAGTATCATTAACTCTAATCCTTACTGATGGGTTAAAATATAACAGTCAGCAGATCCATGTGATAAAACCAAAAAGGTAAAGGACCTACTATAGATAAACCCACTCAACGATATTAAAGGTCTTAGTGATATCTAGCGAAAGGAGTGCCCTGCCGCCGGAATTCTCAATTGGAACATGCATATTAAGGAAAACTCTCCTAATATTCCCAGCTGTAGATTTATTGGGCATAAAGCTCGATTGACCCGGGTGAACAAGACAATGTATCACCTTTGCCAATCTCGTGGCCAAGACTTTGGCCAACATTTTAACATCAACATTTAACAGGGAAATATGATGATAAGATTCCGGCAGCAGGGGGTCTTTCCCCTTTTTCGGGAAATCCCGCCACTGTAGCCTCATTCATTGAGGCAGGTAAACTACCACTCACAAAAGCGTCATTAAAAGTATTAAGTAAAACTGGTAGAAGCGCCTGCTTATAGATTTCCATTGGCAACCCATCCAGCCCTGGGGCCTTGTCATTAGGAAAGCTAGTAACTCCCAGTTCCAGCTCTACCAATGTCAATGGAAAATCCAAAATCTCCTTATGCGTCACTGATATGAACGGAAGCGTTAATTTGGACAATACCCTAGGTTCCTGCCCAGAATAATCAACTCTGGAGGAATATAATTCACAATAAAACTGGTTAAGAATGTCTCGGATCATATATTCAAATGGACCTGCGTTACGGTGATAGTGGTACATCCAGCTGCTGTGTTAAATTTGTATGGGATGCACACATATAAATAAATATAAATAAATGTCTTATAACCAAATTAATCATATAAACAACAATCTATGAAAGTATAAAGTGTCATGATAAAAAGAAGTAAAAAGTAATATTCAAAAAATCAATATGTCCATATGTGAAGTTAAAGTGCTCCGTGCTTCTCAGTGCTCCACGTTTATTAACAGTAAAGGTCCGCACTCACCAGATAGCCTTTGTAAACTCGCTTAGGGCCCATTCACACTAGATAAAGTGCGTTCAGGCCCGATTCTGGCCAGAATGCACTGCCTCGCATCGCGTCAGGCTCACTTTTTAGTGGAGCAGGAGGGGGCGTGGCGGGCCACATGGAACATGGAGTTTGGAATATGGCATTCGGAACATGAAATTCAGAATATGGGATTTGGAATTTTGAACTCGGAACATGGAATTCAGTATATGCATTTTGAAATGTGGAACTTTGGAATTCAGAATATGGCATTTGGAACATGGAATTCGGAATTAAACATACATCATTCAGAACTCGGAACATGGAACTCGGAATTTGCATTTCAGAACTTGCAACTCGGCACATGGAATTTGGAATTCAGAATATGGAATTTGGATCATGTAACTCGGAATTCATAATTTGGAATTTGAAACTCATAACATGGAACTCAGAATTTGGAATATGGAATTCAGAACTCAGAATATGGAATTCGGAACACGGAATTTTGAATTCGGATTTCAGAATATGCAATTTTGAATTCGAAACTCGGAATTCAAAATTCTGAATATGGATTTCGGAATATGGAATTGGGAATATGGAATTCAGAATATGGAATTCAGAATACAGAATTTGGAATATTAAATTTGGATTATGGAATTCCGAATTCACAATTTGGAATATTAAATTCGAAATATGGAACTCGGAATATGGAATTCGGAATATTCACAATTTGGAATATTACATTCGGAATATGAAATTCGAAATATGGAACTTGGAATATGGAATATTAAATTCTGAATATGGGATTCAGAATATTACATTCGGATTTCGGAATATTACATTTGGAATTCCGAATATGGATTATGGAATTCAGAATATGGAATATGAAATTCCTAATACGGAATATGGAATTGGGAATATGGCATTCGGGATATGGAATTCAGAATATAGAATATGGAATTCAGAATACGGAATTTGGAATATGGATTCGGAATATTACATTTGGATTATGGAATTCAGAATTCACAATTTGAAATATGGAACTCGGAATATGGAATTTGGATTTAGGAATATTAAATTAGGAATTTGGAATATTAAATTCGGATTTTGGAATATTAAATTTGGAATTCGGAATATGGATTATGGAATACAGATTTTGGAATATGGAATTTAGAATTCAGAATATAGGATTCGGAATTTGAGATGTGGAATTCCGAATATTACATTTGGATTATGGAATTCGGAATAAGGAATTTGACATAAGGAATTTGGAATATTGAATTCTTATTTCGGAATATGGAATTGGGAATATGGCATTCGGAATATGAAATATGGAGTTCCCAATTCAGAATATGAAATTCGGAATATGGAACTCGGAATATGGAATTTGGAATACAGAATTCAAAATATTGAATTTGGATTATGGAATTCAGAATTCGGAATATGGAATTCAGATTTTGGAATATGGAATTTGGAATTCTGAACATGGAATTCAGAATATGGAATTTGGAATTCAGAATATGGAATACGGAACATGGAATTTGGAATTCAAACTTCCGAATACGGAACATTGAATTTGGATTATGGAATTCGGAATAAGTCATTCAGAATATGGAATTCGGAATGTCATTCGGTATTCGGAATAAGAACACTAGTAAGAAACTGAGGCATGCTGTTAGTAAGAGGCTTTTACTGGGCTGGCCCACATTTTTTTTGCTTGCCAGTGTCAAATCTTGTAGGTGGCAGTATAACCAGACAGTTTCTGAGTTCATATGTCCCTCGATGGATGAGGACATTTTTTTTTGCACTCAATGTAAAATCTTGTTCTTGGAATCTTGGAAGGGACACGACAAGTCTTAAACCTTCAGAATATACTGCCACCTAAATGTATAGAAACCTCCGCAGCAGGACACACAGAAAAAACTGATAGGGGTTTTAACAATTCTTTACTCTATCCAAAACTGCAGGGTTCTGTCTCTCCAGGTAATGAACACTTTTGTTTTTTTTAAACAGACTTCAGCACATTTCTTTAGACAGTATTTGAAGTACAATAAGGTAACACATACAGCTCAAAAAGTAGTTTAAAAACACAGTAAACAGCTTTACAGAACAAGAAAACTACTCACTGCTCGATTCATTGTAACAGTAACTCATACTAGCAGCAAGACTACAGCAAAGCTTCATATAAATGACAAAAAATCATGCAACACTGTTTCACAAACGTATTACATGCATATCCAAAATTCAACTAACTGTGCACCATTAACATGGACCCATTGCCTGCCCACAGCAAAGGGAGATGTCTTTGTGGCTATATTTAACCAATCAGAACAGTACAAACATGAGTTTATTTAGTAGAGCTTGGTTGTGAGGGCTTACTGCTCTTTGCATTGCCTTACTGAATAAGTCCAAATGTGAATGAATAGGTGTAATATTGAAAGTTATTAGTGCAGCTCATGAAATATCAGCTTTTGTTGTGCAGATGATGTGCCTGGTTCATGTGCTCTCAAACTATTGTAGTAAAGGCTGTATGTGATTAGATGTGATACACTTGGACTGTAAGCAAAACATTTTCAACACAGATGGCTTTGACATTACTGAAAGTCGTCCTAGATTGCCTTATGTTCTTATTGGCCCTTCCTCAAAGGGCTCTGCATGGAAAGATTCTCTTTAAAGCCCACCATCCTACCCCACTCATACCTTTCTGTTGTACTCCTCAGCCGCTCTATCCCTCAGTCAGAATTGTGGGTGTTAATAAAAGGAAGCTTACACACTGTTGATTACTCTCTCTCCTACGTGACAGAGCTGGGCCAAGACCAGCAATGTCAGATAATTCTGATACCAGGAAGTAATGGATATTATTCTTTGCTTCTGGCACCAGAGTTGCAGGGGAGCAAAGGTAAAGCAAGTATATGCAGGGGGAGGCCACACAGTATGGAAAACCTATTGTTCTGCCTTGCATGGGCACAGCACAGATTAAAGTAATCCTATAGTGAGGAAATTTGTTGGCTGCTGACCTTCTGATGAATAAGCTAGTTGTCTAGCTTTCTGTGATTTCAGTATTTTCTGAGAACAAGCATGTTCAATAAAGTCAGAATGCCTGATCGTTACATTTGTCACAGCTTTGCAGCTCTAGTGCCAGGCACTAGCATTTATTTAGAGGGAGAGGTCTGTGATGGCAGGTTACATAATTCTCTTGTGACAGGTTCCCTTTAAACTACAGTGTATCTGATTTGACCCTGCCTACCAACCCACAATGAAACTCTTGTAAGGCCTAAAATGGAACTGGGTCATTTGTGATATAACTAAATAGTAAGTGCCGATAGTAAAACAGTAAATAGTGAGAGCCCATGGAAGTATGACATGGTAACACACTTTAAGCGGGTTTTCCATGTAACAAAGATGGCCATACACCTTACAATTATCTGCAGTCAGATGGAAAAGGTGCAACAGATTCCTCCATCTACACTTAACTGTGTGGATGGAGTAATCTCCACCTGGGCCAATCTGTTGCACGTTTTCCATCTGACCACAGAAAATCTGCAGATAACTGTAAGGTGTATGGGCACCTTACGAAAGTCAGAACTTCACCTAGTGGCACCGCATTGCCAATTATTATTGTCAGCAGCCAGACCCAAATTGTTTTCATTAGTTCACAACCTACTGGCACACAAATGTTTTTTTGGGCTTCTTGAAATTAGTATTATCAGATATTAGCCACTGAGTATAAAGCAGAATGCTACCATGGTAGAACGGTCAAAATGGTAGGCTACAAAAGTGAAGAGTCATGTGTCTGGCCTCTGCTAGGGAAGGAAGTGGGGTTCACCCATGGGGAACAGTAGAGCCGCCCTGTAAACACAGGGATATTGTAAGCACAGTAGTAGAGAGACATGAAACGGCACAGTTCACAGACAGTAAATCTTTATATAACCAGGACTCTCAGTGCTGAGCACCTGACCAATAATTTGAAGAAAGTGTTGTTCACACTTATGAAGTGAAATGACTGCATAATAATACATTTGCACAAACATACCATGACTCTGCAAAATATAGCTTTGACCATCTTAAAGTAGTTCAACCATAATCTATTATTACAAGAAAGTATGACCTAGCATTATATTCCACGTTGTAAGTCCTGGACACTGCTGAGCCGACTAGGTTACTGGATGTGTGTCCCCCCCCCCTCCCCCCTTTTGTGGCTATAATATGAATTCCCCGTCTTAGAGTATCATGATGTAATGTGGCTAAACAGATCCCTTGTGCAGCAGTAGCGCAAAGATTACAATAACACCTGTATCCTCTAAGTCAGGGGTATCCAAACTTTGGCCCTCCAGTTGGGGTCAAGCTACAAATCCCATCATGCATCTGCCTTTGAATGTCATGCCTATGGCTGATAAAGCTTTGCAATGTCTTATTAGATTCGAACAGCTGGGGGGGGGGGGGGGGGGGGGGTTGTCGAAGTTTGGCTTCCCCTTCTGTAGGTGCACCCTGAAACCTTAAGTGGACAGAATTATTCTGGAGTGTTTGAACACCGTTAGAACTAGATACTGAAATACAAAACATTTAGATAAATAGATTCAAAGCATAATGAAAACAAATACTAATATACATAACATGGAATATAGTCTGTAGTGTATCTCCCTCAAAAGAAACAGAAGAAAAAATGGCTTTTGGTTTCCTGAGAAAATACTGCTTTTCAATGCTCAATAATAAGTCCAGGAACAAGAGTTCATGTGATTTCTAGATGAGCCGTCTTCCCTCACTTGCTTTCATCAGCATCTGTGTGTCTCCTGATGAGTTGAAACTTCCCAGTGGGGTCTGGAACAAACCAATTCTCCCAGATCTCAGAGTATGAGGATGCTCGACCCCATGGTTTAAAATGTCCATTCCAGTGAAGGAGCCTGGCAGCATTCAGAAACTGTAGTGAATAACGCTTCCCAGTACTAGAACCTTTACAGGGAGTACAATGATGTTAGTAATTAAATACTTGTCCGGAAATAAAGAAAAAAAAAAGTTGTGTTACAACGTATTTAGAAAAGCTAAAACCAGCCTCCTGTACAATAAATCTTACTCCCCCCCCCTGTAAATTGATATTACCAGAGCAGGTTGAAAGTGAGTGAGGTGTCACTACAATGCTCCAATATACTGACTAGAACAGAGATTAAACCACAAAATATAATTGCAGGTTGTAACCAAAGTGTCAAACCTCTCATGTGACTTCTGTCTCCAGCTTTCCCTCTGCAATTCTTTTAATTCCTGCATCTGTAACAACTAACTTTGATATCCTAAAGCACTGGACTATTACCATGATAACAAGCAAAAAGGAAGGCGGCACAGAGGACTAGAGTAGGCCTTAAAGTACACCTGGGCACACGGATATTAAATATTCTTATCAAGCAGCAAAAGAGCGTAAAAACAAACCCACAATGACCTCTCTAGCTGCATGTACTGTGGAGTAATTAATACTCAAAGATCAAAACAGAGACTCTGGAGTCAGATTTATGTCAGTTCCTAACAGCTTAGAATTACCTGGTGCTTGTTTGCATTGAAATGCTAACAGGCTGCCAAATGTCTGCTGCCAGACACAATAAGGGGAGAGGAATGGAGATTTCAGTGTCTCTGTTGTCAACTTTGAAAATGAATTTCTCCACAATGCCTTTAGCTAGAGAGGTGAATGGGGGCTTGTTTGAGATTGCTTTTGTTGTGGTTTTCTAACCTTTATAGTAGTAATGTGGTATGTTGGGAGTTATTTTTAATATCATGCAGTTTATTATGATCAAGCTTTTTACAAGCACAATTTGCACATGTAAGAACTTATGGAACTTAGGAATAGAGCCAGGAACAAATGCAGAGAAGACATACCATTTAAAGCAAAGCTGCATTTAGCTTATTCATGGTACATTAACAGGTTCACTAATTAGCCTGCCACATCAACTGATGATTTTACCTGTCCTGTGCTCCCCTGCTGTCTTGCTTGCCCCCCAAAGCCCATGACACTTTCACACATGAGGGAACATATGCTTCTCTACCCTTCCTTTCTCATTGTAGCATTGTGTGCCTGATCGGCAAAAGCCCGCGACCAAGCACTGACATGTGGGGGGCAAGGGGGTGGGATTCTAGCCCTGTGTAAGCTCCAACCCAGATCCAATGGACTTTCCTATGGCTCCAACGGGTAAACACATTGGTGGGTGAGTGCGGGTGAGGTAAGTAGCAGTGGAATGGTGAGTCATCAATTGAATCTACTCCAGCCACAACAGTTAGAAATGTGGCAGCCAATATGTAAAAGGTTCACACTCCCTGGGAAATACAGCAGGAGGAGTGAGTCTCTAAGACAGGTGGAGCACAACAAAGGATTACAGAGAGGCTTCACGGAGACTGGGGAAGTTAGTGGGTAAGTCAACTTGTCAGCACCTGCTAACACAAATATAAATGTTCTATTCCCTGCAAAGATGGTTCTCAAAATACATATAGTTAGTCCATCACACATCTGCGGTCTCCCCCCTGGATATTCGCCTTACCTAAGTGCCTGACATGCCACATGGGATCAATGCTGGAGTGCATCTTGTAGAAGACAATAAGGAGTGGGGGAGCAGTGATACTACCAGCCAGGGTCTTGCTGTATAATTCTTCACTAGAAGCAAGAAAAAAAAAACACATGTGACTATCTTGCTCAGCAACAAATTTCTGATATCAAATGGCACCATGTCACATCAACAATTTACCATAATGCAACCTTTCTGCGGATACATTTATGGTAACAAGTGCACTAAGAAAACAATAAAAGGGCCCTACAGTTACTACAGTATTATTAACTCATTTAATTCCAATGTAATGTGGTGTACTTGCTACTTTCACTTTAAATCAGGAAGAAAATAAGAACTGTGGGTAGGCTGTGTCTCATGTAAGTTTTAAACATAAAGCGGCTTAAATACTACTTTCTAGCTCCCTCATCACCACCCTTTTGTATCATAACAGAGACTGCAGATTAATACTGATCATTGGATTCTGATGTTGCGGCCTACACGGGTGTTCCGGTAGAATCCTGGACCCGTTTGAAATCTGGACCCTCACGTCAATTCCGGGGGCATCGTTGGCTGAAATCGCAAGCTATGAGCAGCTGATCTTGGGTGTTGTGGAGGAGGCATTGGTTGCTTTTTTATTTCTGGTAGGCGCCATACTGTGAATGCATGGCTTTTTAGTATTGACTTCAACAGAAAGCTGGTCTCTCTGTGGGGCTGCAGATCTTCAATGACATGAATGCATGAATGGTAAAGATCCGCATGTGCTCAGTATGGCTGATCCTATGACAGAAGCAGCCCAGAATAGCCTGCAACATAAAAAGCCAGTGATTGTTGGATCTGAGTGTTATGGTATATAGAAGCGATGTGGGGCATTGGTGCACAAAAGTGTATTTGGCGTTTAAGTGGAATTCCAGTACATATCCTTATTCTCTATTCTTATTCTTTCTTGTCCTGTGACATGCTTAAAATAAGTTGATTGCAAGACGTGCCTGTTTTGCTGATTAACAGGCGTTTTAGACATAGGGACCTGTAGGCATTGTGTTTATATCTTTTCTTCCTGTAAAAGCTGTTTCTGGCTATCACTAGAGGGAGCCAAATGGAAGACAAGAACTGCTCATTCATCCCATTACAATCTGCCTCTCGTCTTCCATATACCTCCATATAGTTGTGACTGAGAACAACTGTTACAGGAAGAGAAGTTGTAAACAAACTGTTTTCCAAGCTGGAGGTTCCATGTCTGAAACTCCTATTTAATCGGACCTAAACAACCACAGCCGGTTGTTACATATAAGGATAAGCAACTACAGCTCTCTGTGAACATGACGTTGCATATTTCTTCCTTTCTTAGGTTGTACTGTCTCATTTGGAGAGCAGGATGTATAGGTAGTGTAGTATACTCACGTCATATCTAAAAGCATCCATTTTTCAAGCTGCTTGGTAATGTTTTGTCTCTTCCACTCAGTGAGATTGGCTACAAAGACCCCTGGATTAAAGGAGCAGGTATTGGCTTTCATTCCCAGTTTACGGATTGTCTCTTTCTTGTAATCAAAATATCCAATGTAATTGTACTGGAAATAAAAAACACACTTATTGGTTATAAACCATTCAGAACAAAAGTATAACTTACTTGAAAGAGCAGTTCATATGTATTTACATTTACACCCCAGCCTTTAATAGTGTGTGAAACTGAAATTACCCCCACAAATTGGTCCCCTCTGTTTCCCCCTTGCTAATTATACCTTTGGGGGAAGGTTTTGATGTGCTGCAGATTTTGCCTTTCATAGCTCTAAATAGTAACAGCAATTATATAACCTAACCACTTGATGACCGGAGTGTTAAACCCCCTTCCTGTCCAGGCTATTTTTCAGTATTCATCGCTGCGGTACTTTGACAGACATTTTGTTTCACTCAACAAAAGTCCGAGCACTGTACTGTGCATGGCTGAAAGATCCAACATGCTATGTAAATATGCTGCATTGCGCAAGCTTTTCTCTGTTCCGGTTACTGAGCAATTTATAAATTGCCTGTACTTTTTGATTCTCTCTCGTGCATGCAAACAATGTTTTGTAAGCCTTTCCCAATATTTACTAATCTATTCATTTACTGCCAGAAATCTGACTCAGCAGGTGTAAGAACTTGTAATCCATTAAATAGTAGGTGGTAAATCACTACCTGCAGCCTGGTACACTGGTCAGTATAAAATTAGGCTGCACATTATTTAGTTTTCAACCGTTGCAGTGCACAACAGACACTAAATCAAAAGCCACATGCAGGAGGAGCGCACACAGGAAATACAAGTACCTGATTACCGGCGCCTCGCACAAGATATTTTGATGTAACTGAATCACAATCCTCTGAAAATGCAGCTGCCTGTCCAAGTTTTATTGGGGTCTTGTAAAGTTCTAGAATATCACCTGTAGGCCAAAATATTTATACTTAGTTTATTATACCCAGTGCTAACAGATTAAAAAAAAAAACTAGAAAAAACATTAATAACACAGGGGAAATATGAGATAAGCAAACCAATCCGCACAAAGCAGGTTCCCATCTGCATTATCACAATATACCACCTGCCAATGGCCATATGCCAAAAGGCCATGCCATTTTCTGTTCTTGGGGGCCATTGCCAGGATCCTTAAGGCCTCATTAGCACAGCTAAGTGTCGGCCCGTACAGATCCGTGCAGAGTGCACGGCCGCATCGGGTCGTTCCCGGGAAGGACAGGTGCAGCATGTGATTGTACGCAGCAACCTGTTCTTCTCTATTGGAGTACGCAGCCGTAGGCTCATCCGAGCTGCACACTCATGCGGGTGTCCGTACTCGTACGCAGATAGGATGGATCCTGTGTGCGTCCGAGCACGGAAAACGGCATCCGCACGTGCGTGTGGCCGCGTACTCCCATAAAGAACAGGCTGCTGCGTACAATCACACGCAGCACCTGTCCTTCCCGTGAACGGCCCGATACAACCGTGCACGCTGCACGGATCTGTACGGTCCGACACTTAGCTGTGTGAATGAGGCCTTATGCCGCTCTACACACCTTTGCCTGTGTTTAGGGAGGATGCCATCTTAGTTAACTATTTCATACAGGAGTAATGCTGGCAATATACTGTATGTTGCAATTTGGTTTTACTGTTTTCTGCAGATTTATTAACAACTATGTAGTGTGAGTGCCTACCTGATTGCACTTCAAATTCATTCTTTAGGAAGGCTCTCATAATAAATATTTGTTTGTAAATCTAAAGCTTGTTATTCGAATTACAATCTGAGTGTACAATGTCCTTTCAATTTACCAAAAACTATGTCATTTTAGGGCTTACCTGGATAATTCATTCAGTTTGTATAACCCCCCCCCCCTTCCCGGCACTACATCCTGGTTGTATGATCTAAAGGAGATTGTGCAATCTGACTGTAATGTGTAATCCGACTGTAAAGGCAGCGTTACAATGGGACTGCAATGTGTATGTTCAGCAGATTGAACAACCTAATTGTACAATCGATCTCCTTTATATCTACCATCTACATGTAGTGCAAGGTTCTGCCTAATTAGAAACAAAAAGAAGGGATTTTTTAAGAAAGATTGTTTTAGATTTACCAAAACTGATTTTACAATCAGACTTTAAAGCGTATGGCCAGCTTTGGGAGTCTTTGCGGCCTCTGTCATGTTCTGTTGCCACTGTTGGAATCCTTGTGTCAGACTGAAGAATGGAATACAGCTGCAGCCTGCACTAATGAAACCTTGTCATTCCACTCCTCTATCTAAACATTATGACAGGCAGCAGAGAAGGGGATGAGAGTAACATAGGCAAGAGAAGCCATCAGCACATAGGTAACTGCAGGTATCTAGATGTAAAAACTTAAGTACCATAAAATGATAGTAAAATAAGGAAGAATACCTTGCACAATGATATCGTCATCGAGATATATAATCTTCTCTACACCAGGGACCAAATCAGAGAGGTAGTATCTAGCAAATGTTAGCTAAAGAAAGATAAATAAGACAATGAAAATGTCACCAACCTTACTATGCTTTTTAAATGTATTATTTTTGAAGTTATGGCATTTACTTACAGGTTGCGCACTAGCCTCAGCTCGAACTTTCCCATCAAGCACCTGGGGATCAAATTCTATAATTTTATATTTGACATTTTTAAGTTTAGGTTCACCAAGCCATGTCCTGTGAGAGAAGTAAAACAAAGCTTTAGAAGTAAGAAAAGCATCAGTTCACTCAAAGCTAGTATTTCAGTTTTGGAATTATGTAGGTGGAATGACCCACTGGTTTTAACTTCCCACTGGTGCTGCTGTACATTGTAAAATGGCAAAGCGGTGGACGTTTATTTCGGCAATGGCATTTATAAACAAAATTGTGGAAATAAACATCAGCTGGCCATTGCGCCTGTTAATGGCCATCAACTGAGCTGTCCGAGGAAAACTTGGTTCACAGACACAGCTCTGTACTTTCTGATTGCTGTGATGACTAAATCACAGTGATCACATTTGTAAACAGTGTAGTGTTTACATCTGAGAGCCCGTCCCTTTTTCTTATAATGAACGAAGAAGGGAGGAAAGGAGGAACCAATAAAGGAAAGAATCATTTATTAGTTTCTGATCAAAGTACAGATCACACACAGCAGCAGATTTATTTAACCTCCTCCCCTTCTGCGTACGACATGTACATTAATGATGTATCTAGTATCTGTATCCTGTGCAGCATTTCCAAGCTCCATGTTTTATCCACTAACCAGCATGTTCCTTAATTTAAAAAATAATGTGGCAAAAAATGAAATCACCATTTCCCAAAAGGGGTCATTTCGGGACGTGTTTGTACTATCCTAGGAGTCTAATTTGATATGTTTTATAACAGAAAGTAAGGAAAACTGTTTTTCCCCCCAAATGTGTGGTCTTTTTTTCCTTTATATAGTAAACATTTTAAATGTTTTCAGTGGTTATTAAATACCACCAACAGAAAGCTCTAGCTATCTAAAAAAAAAAAAAAAGGATTGCCAATTCCTTTCACAGCCCTAAAGGAGGTCCTTATATCAAATCATAAAGAAATACGTTTGGTTATTGTATCTTTTGAGTCCATTTAAATCCTTATCCCATTATAAGTACTGATAAAGTGGGCAGTGTGGTTGCCATGAAAACAGAATTGCTGTTTTTTGTTTAATTGAATTGTGAACAATTAAAAGGCACTTTTGGACTTTTTACATTTTGGTGCTCTTTAATTTTGAATGTTGAGTCACTTGGGATTACCCAACAAGGGTGGCCTGTTTTGTTTGGGAGCTGCCTTGCCAGTGCTAGTGAGCTGCATCTGGACGATGTGAGTGAGCACAGAAACCCCAGTGCCTCCGAAATGTATTACATTGTTTGAGTTTACATGCAAACTGTCTCCATGACAAGATCCCTCTGCAGTTTAAATGAAATAACAACCCCCTCAGTAGGAGCAGCCAGCCTCTCTCTTATGCAGACAAATTCAAACATGCAGCTTGTATGTGCAGCTTTCACTCCTCTTGTACACTCCACTGTACAGAGCTCTGAATCATACAAAATCTAAAAATCCAAGCATCCATTGATGCTTTAAAAGGTGTAAATCTCTATTTTAGTCACTAGGTGGTGCTGTGCACATAGCAATAATATGATGTACATTGGGGTGGGCAAACTCTTGCCATCTAGCTGTTGTGGAACTACAAGTCCCATGAGGCATTGCAAGATTCTCACAGACATGACTCCCAGAGACAGATGCACGATGGGATTTGTAGTTTCGCCACAGCTGGAGGGCCAGCTTGCCCACCCTGATGTACATCATACACTAGCAATAAATATACATTGCCCAGCAAAGTATTTCTTTACAATTTTGCCCAAACACTTACAGTCATCATGTTTTAGAACAGCTCCAACTCTCTCTCTGAACCTCTTGTCCAGTAGAAGATCACAAAGGACAGGGCAGTCTACAGCAGCCATTCATTTGCTAGTTCACAGAAGGGGGGGAACAGGGTGGAGGGGAGTGGGGAACAGGGTAGTAGCTTACCATACTGTGCCTGTTTGTTTGTGGAGACACACACAACTTACTAGCACACACAAGGGTGGCCCCATAGGACCCTGCCATGGAAAGGATTCACCTCAAAACAGGATATCAGGATCAGTGCAAGCTGCAGGAAACTAAAACTAATCGTCATTTGAAATAACTTAAAAACCTCTCGACTTTATTTTAACTTTAAATGTATCTAAAGCCAAAACGTGTTAATGTTGGATAAAGTGGGGAAGGATAAGGCCTCATTCATACTCCTAAGAGCCGCCCCGTGCAGATCCGTGTGTCGTGCATGGCCGTATTGGGCCGATCCCGGGAAGGACAGGTGCTGCGTGTGATTGCACGCAGCAGCAGCCTGTTCTTCTCTATGGGAGCAACCGGCCGTACGGCACCATACGCTCACCCGAACTGCACATCCGTGTGGGTAAGGGTGTCTGTGCTCGGACGCACACAGGATCCATCCACACCTTCACCCGCACGGATGTGCAGCTCGGGTGACCGTGCGGCCGTGTACTCCCATAGAGAAGACCAGGCTGCTGCGTGCAATCACATGCAGCACCTGTCCTTGCCAGGAGCGGCACAAAACTGCCGTGCATGCCGCACGGATCTGTACAGGCCGACTCTTATCACTGTGAATGAGGCCTTAGAAACATTGTCAGGTTTTTATTGCTCTGTGTTCCTGCCTGGGAGGTTTACCACTTAATAATATTATGACAGTGGTCACCAGGACAGAAAGTGATGGGAAATACAAAATATTACAGTAGTCAAGGGAACAGAAGGTGAGGGAATATATTCAAATGGAGATTACAGTGAGGGTTTTTTTTTCCTTCACTTTAAAGTTTGGTACTCATATCCTCATGTACAGTATGTCCAATACAGGAAGTTAAAGGAGAACTATGAGGTGAGTGCTTTTCACTTACCTCATAGTTCTAGCCGACCTGTGACAATGAGACTGTCACAGGTCGGCTCAGTAGATCGGGAGGTGAGCGAACACATGCCGGATTCCCCCCTCCCCGCTCCGCCAGCGCTGACTGGCGGAACGGACGGGGGAGGGGGCGGGTACAGCTGGCTCTGCCTCTAGATAGGCAGAGCCAGCTGTCACTCACGCAGCTGGGCGGATCTCGACATCGATATCGGGATCTGCTCCGGCGTCTCAGTATACCGCGAGCTGTAGCTCGCGGTATACTGAGCTTAGGGTGACAGGAGGACGCTAGTTTGTGTCCTCCCATCACCCTAAGGAGAACTATGGGGAAAAGCCCTGACCCCATAGTTCTCCTTTAGGTTGGGTTCACACCTAGGCGTATTGAATATGCGCGTTTGTCACGCGTTTTTACCGCGATTCGCGGTAAAAAAACGCACAACAAACACCCGTTTCCGAGGGCTACTTGGCTGTATCCCAATGGAAACGCGAGACCAAAACGCCCCAAAGAAGTACATGTACTTCTTTGGGCGTAGGCCGTTTTGTATCGCGTTCGGACGGGCGGAAATACGGCAAGGTGTGAACCAGACCCATTGAATACAATGGGATTTAGATGTTTGAGCGTTTTGTAGAGCGTTCGTCGAGCGTTGAACGCGCTACAAAACGTTCAGGTGTGAACCGGGCCTAAAGAACAGCAAAAAGAAAGCCGACATGGGTCTTAACCATTCCCTATGTGAACAAAAATGTAAAAAAATAAATATGGGGCCCAAGTTATACTTTAGTTAGATCTGTGCGAGTAGAAAACATTTGTACAACATGTTTGGACATATTTACAGCAGGAACATGCAAAAATATATTGATTTGTGGCTGAATCTGGAATCCTTCTTTACCAATTAAAAATTTAGTTTGATAGCACAATCACCAAACAGGCAATATAAAATGTAATCCCTGATGTTGCTAAAACCAGTTGGCTACAAAGAAAACCAGTGTCTTTGGACTCCCTCTTCTTGTCCGAACTGTCTGCCACAGTACTCCATACAATCTGTTTTCTGGCACACAGTCCTAACATTATTATATACAGTATATGAAGAACTCTACAGGATTAAGCCTCTTCTTGTATCTTTAGGTTAGTACAGTTTTAGAGGTTGCCTGTTTTGAGCAGCTGGCACAGGGGGTGATGTACTAAAAGAATGGAAGAATTACATTTTTGACACTTTCCAATACTTCAGCATAATCATGGAATTTGCCATAATAGGTTCACATTAACACTTTTAACTGCCTGGTCTCATGTGGCTTGAAATAAGAGTAATACCTTAAATGCTCCATGGTATCATTTGTTGTAACAATGTAGAAGGTGACACTGGACTTTGTATTACTGAAAATACTATGTATTGCAGTGACAACCCCTCCAAGTCTACTTTCTACAGCGGTGATGGCCACAGGAATGTCCACGGCACTCTTATCTTCAGATGCACCTTCAGGAGCTTCTGGTAGGAAATCAATACGCTGAAATCCCACAGGACCAGAATCTATAAATGGGAAGTCAATGCAGTATTTTAATATGTTAGACCAAAGACAGTATTTTTTTACTATTACAGGTATTTATATAGCGCTGACAATTTACGCAATGCTTTTACATAGAGCACCTTCACATCAGCAACACAGAGTTTGGTAACATAAAGGTTTATGAGCATTCCAAAGTCTTTTAGCCCTAGACACGAGTGTATGGCAGGTGTTCAAGCACAATAGGACTGCCAAAGAATCCTTTAGGGCTTGTTCACACCATTTTCTGGTCCAGATCTGGAGCAGATCTGCAGATGCTGTGCTATGCGTTTGACGCGTTTTTACGGCATTCCAGTTTAAAAAAAAGTGTGTTAGCTGCAGTGTGGTGTGTTTTAGTTGCGTTCTTGACGCGTTGGTGCGTTTCCAGACCAGAGAAAATGGGACATGCAGTATTTTTTCTGTCCGGACCAGAACGGACTGCGCTGGTGAGAACTGTAGCCCATAAAACACATAGGGAGACATTGGGATGCATTTTGGGTGCAGGAGTGCACGGTTCTGGTCCGGACAGAATCCAGACATCATGTGAACAAGCCCTAACTCTGCAGATTACCACAGCAGACAACTCCACTAGTACTTAATGTAACAGGTTGTATTTATAGAGTTCACTGGCCAAGATTGTTTCCCAAGATCTAAATGTATAATAAACCTTCTGGTTGTCACCTGTTTTTAAGACATTTTACAGATTTGGACAGCGATCATTTAGCTACTAAAGCCCAACTCCATTTTTTAACTGTCCCTCCCTTTCAGCCCCCCACAAAATTGACAACACAGTAATTAGCCCCTTCAGGTTCCAGTACCCTTTGAGTCCTCCCCCTACGTGCTCCAGATTCAGTTCACTTACAGGTTCCATGACACTGAGCATCATTAAATAAACTTTTGGTGAGCCCATGGCATCATGGCACAAAAACTCTCTGGGGTACATCATCACAATGCTCTGGGCTTAGAGTACAATACTGCAGAGTACCATTCTCTGCAGCAATGAGGACCACCTACAGCTTAATGAAAAGCAAAAAAAAACGGAACTCATCCCTCATGCAGAAATCACCCAGAAAAAAAGATATGCATCCTAAAAATGAGGGATGCACTGATACCGGTATTTTGGTACCGAGTACGAGTACCGATAATTTTTTTTCGGTAATCGCCGATACCAATTACCGAGTACCGGAAGTCCCATTCAGGAAGTCAGGTAGCATGTAATGACTCGCCACCTGGCTTCCTGATTAGCCGGGAAGCCGGGCAGCATGTAAAGACTCACCACCCGGCTTCCCCATTAACAAGAAAGTCTGTCCCCTCTCACCTCGGCATGTGCAGCCTGTCACCCCCGGGGGCCTCTTCAGCCAGGAGCGGCCTTCTTCCGGTACCCAGCCGGAGCCGTCTTGCTGGCCAATCATGGAAGTCGGGCGCCGTGTAATGACGCGGCGCCCTGCTTTCTGATTGGCCAGGAGGCCGGCTCCATGCTCCCTAGTCATAAGATAACGAGGGAGCATGAAGCCGGCTCCCCGGCCAATCAGAATGTCGAGCGCTGCGTCATTACACAGCGTCCGGCTTCCTGATTGACCACCTTCCCCGGCTAATCAGGAAGCCGGGCAGCGCGTCATTACACGCTGCCTGGCTTCCTGATTGGCTGGGAAGTCAGCTCCATGCTCTCTCATCACAAGCAACGAGAGAGCATGGAGCTGCTTCCCGGCCAATCAGGAAACCGGGCAGCGTGTAATGACACGCTGCCCGACTTCCTGATACAGGAAGTATCGGGCTAGGCAGCGGAGCATTTTGGATGAGTACTCGCCCAAATACTCGGCATCGGGACCGATATCGGTACTAGTATCGGTGCATCCCTACTAAAAATCTTTAAGAAATATATTGCAGGTACGGGGACTGGGCTTTAGTAATTTGAGAATATGTAACACTTTGTTACTCTGGTAAAATGATGGAGTGTAGAACAAGTAGCAAAAGACTCACAAAAAAAGGGAAGTGTAACTTTGTACTAACAAAACCACAAATAAAAACATAGTAGCAAAAGTAAACCTGTGCTAGCTGGACAGTAACTATGCTAGCAAAAACAGAGGTGTGTAAATTAGCACTTTGGAATTGTGTAGCTTTAGAAACACATATATCAAAGAGTAGAAAAACTGCTAAATTATTTCACTTATCAAACAGTCTCAAATAATGATGGTCTATGCGTTTTTGAAAATGAATTCTGCTTCATTACAAATTAGGATTATTAAGTACAACTCTCCAACACACGTCTATTTCCCCATGTTATGTCTCTTTAAAAAAAGCTTTAAGTACTAGAAAATGCCTGATGAACTTGATAGTAAGCTGTTAATTTCTGTAGTGGGATGACAATACTGTTACTGCTGCTGGTATGGAAGAGAAGTGAGTGCTGAGAACATAAACATGGAGGAGTTTTGGAGATTAAAAGAGGGGGATATACTGACTAGTGATGAATCTGGGCTTGGCGTGAATTTACTTTGACTGGGTTCACCCAAGCCCGCTCAAAACTGTGATCACCCCTTCCTGACCCAATCAGTGGCATTAGTGACATATAGCTGCAGGGCATAAAATGCACTTGCCACCACTGACTGGGCAAGAGGGACAAAAACTCAGATGAACTGGGTTCACACCAAGCACCCGCGCATCATTAATGTTGACGTAGTCCAGCACAGAGGAGAATACTGCTTGTGATTCCAATGCATAAGTGAATGGGTTGTAGGGCCACTACAAGAGCCGATTGCATTTCTTGCAAGATCGTAAGATATTGCACAGTAATTGTAGTGTTTTTAAAGAGACATAATTTGGGGAAATTTGTAATGTGCTAATAGGCGATTGATAAACTATTAGTATTTGTGATTTTGTCCACCTCCTCTATGGAAAGCATACAAGCATCCTTGGTTAAATTAAGTAATTAATTACCTGAACTTTGACTCTTCAGTATGTCGCTTAGACCCAGCAGATTATGGTGCAGGATCAGTAGGAATACCACTGCTGCCAGCAGAATAATTACTATGTTCACTAAAAGAAAACAGAAATAAACAAACATGTGTCAAATGCGGATCTGTACACACTTTGGATTAGCAAAAAGATAAACATTTAAAAAGCAAGAATTTCAGGACGCTCTACTATGGATTTGTCTGACAAAATACAATTGCAAGTATTTTTTTATTTTCAATGGCTGTATTAAATATCACTGCTGTCCTGTCTCCTGGTGGTCACTTTTTCTTTGGTTTGCATTGGTCAAGGTCTTTGATGACATCAGTTTTTTAGTTCTAAAGAAATTAACCAAACTCTGCAATGGAAGACTACAGGTCTTAATAAAGACTTATTATTCCTCAAGTGAAACTTTGTCATTTTTCATTTTGGATATAGTGGGGAGTATTTAGTAACAGGAACACACAATTAAAATCCTGACTGTGGTTCTAAAACTACCCCTCAGTTCCTCTCCTAGTGTCACAATAGGGTGTAAATACATCTCCTAAATAGGGGCGCAGATTTCAATTAGAAACTGACTAATGTTCTAACTTTTCCTTCACTCCACAAATCTTTTTATTGCTGTCCGTTTTCAATGTAAAAAAAAAACGTCACTACCTGCTCCAATGACACAACAGGACGTGATGGTAAGTTTCTCCAATGGTGTTACAGGCAGAAATAAAAACCTGAAAGAAGTTCTAACCCTCCCCTACCTCCTGAAACTAGACAAAGAAAGCCAAAACAATCAAATCAAATTTCCAGGGCTTGAAAAATCCACCCGTCCTCTCGTCTGTGAGCAGAGCCAGACGAGTAGCTTCCCGGGCCGGCCGTTGTAATTAAACGGCCGGCCGGGACCTTTACATTCAAGCGATCGGGCATTTCTGGAGACGCCTGGTCGCTTGTATTAGCAGCAGCTGTCAATGCCGTTGCTGGTCCCGAGATCCGCTGTGCCCGGCAAGGCTGCTCTGAGACAGGAGATCAGTATCCAATCTCCCTCTCATCTCTGCTCCGGTTCCCAAATGCAGGAAGTGATATATATTACATCACTTCCGGATTCAGCTGTCACTCTCCAGCTTCACAAGCTGGGGAGAAGCTGGTGAAGCAGATCTCTGCTTCATCAGCTTCTCTGGGGGTCCCTAGTTGACATTAGGGGACTTGGAGACCCCTGATGTCTCCATAAAGAGGACCTGTCATGTAAATTGGCTATCACATAGGGGGCTTCTTAGGCCACCATGTGATAGCAATAAAGTTAAGTGTAAAATAAAAAAAAATAAAAAAAGAGTAATAAAAAAAAATTAAAAAAGCATTAAAAAAAAAATACAATTTTTTTTAAGTCCCCCGCGCCCCACATACACACGTAAACATGCATCGGGTACGCCTACGTGCAAAAAGGACGATTACACCTATTGTGCCGCACACGTTACATATGGCAACGTGAATGTCGCAGTGTGAGCAGTCATTTTAGGGCCATTAATCACTGATGACACTAAACTGATAGCAGTAAAAGCGTTTAAAGTGTCGCCTATGGACAATTTTCGATGTGGTAGATTTTTGCAATTTTGCGGGTGCGCGCAATTTTAAGGCTTGACATGTTTGGTGTCTATTTAGCCGACGTGACCCCGTCTTTTATATTTTACCAAAAATATGGGTAAGAATGAATGTTTTTTAACATGCAGGAAAAACATTTTTTTCTTCGAAATTTACGGTACTTTTTTCATTATACAGTAAAAATAACCCCCTCTCCCCCTAGTGGTGATTATATACCTCCAAAAGTAATCTCTATGTGTCCCTAAAAAATGTTAACATAAATTGCAATTGCAAATTGCAAATGCTGATTGGTGACATTTGTGACTGGCTGGTGAGACATCCTAAAATTTTTCAAGTCCTGCAAAGTTCCTTCATCTAAAAAGGCAGACCAGTACAAGATAGATTCTGATTCATTTCTATAGGTAGCTGATTTATGAATTAGCACCTAAAACAAGAACCCTTTATTCAGTGGCGTAACTAGAACCTTCAGGGCCCCGGTGCAAGAAACCATGAAGGCCCCCCCCAACCCCCCACCGCCATGGCACTGCATGGTTAACAGGAAGGCTGCCGAGTTCCCCAGCAAGCGCAGGACCTCAGGCAGCCTCTTCAGATTAAAAATTTAGTGCTGGTGCTCTGTCGAGAGCGCCGACCCAGTATCTGCGTTTGTGCGCAGACGGGATTAACGAGGAAACCGCAATTTATTTACAAAGTATTCGTTTGTAATTGTTAATTGTGACCGTTAATAATATGCCATCCATGGCAGTGAATGATGGGTGGCAGTAAATGATTGCTGGATTATTATTAACGGTCACAATTAACGATTTCAACAAAATATTTTGTAAATAAATCCGTTTCCTTGACAATACTGGTCTGTGCGCAAGCGCAGTTGCTGAGGTCGGCAAATTCGACTACGCGTTCTCGACAGAACACCAGTATCGGTGTTTAGTATCGGGGCATTTTCATGTACTAGTACTCGTGAAAATGCCCAGTATTGGCACTGACTGGTGCAGCCCTACTTAAAAATATAATGCATTGCTGGGACTTGTAGTCCTACAAAGTAGACATACCGAGGGGAATTCATCAAAATTGGAGCAGACATAGCAACAACCCATAGTAACCAACCAGCTTCTATCTTTCATTTTCAAAGCTTAAATGAAAATATTGAAGATAGAAGCTGATTGGTTACTATGGACAACTGCTCCACATTCTGTCCGCTCCAGTGTTGAGAAATTCCCCTCAATGTGTACTGTCGCCCCCTTGAAGATTTAGTCCTCTAAAGCCCAGCAATTCATCGGAGTTTGATATGCTTGTTTTAAATGCAGCTCCTGCATTGGCCTAACACTTTCGTGAATTTTATGGACACAAATGAATGAAAACCCTTATATTTTGGTATGTAAATTATTTACGAAATGTGCTGAACAATCTCATTTGATAAAATGCTATAAATTGATAATGAGACACATGCTTTGCTATTATTATTGGTTTAATATAAATAATGCTATCAACGTGTGTTCAAAGCTTTGTTTCGATGTATAGATTATACTGTACATGTACATGATGGCAACCATATTTGCCCATTACATATGCAGGTCAGCGGTGTATTTCACTTTGGTGCTGCCCTAGGCAAGGCAACTGAACTTGACTGACCAACCTTAAATCAACGCCGTCCGCACACGCCGTCCACTCTCCAGCCCGACGTCCGCGTCATCCCATCCAGGTGAGTAGCACTCGGGGTGCCGCTCTCAGCGAATCTGCCACTCCAGGCAAACGCCTTGTTTGCCTCGCGGCAGATACGCCCCTGATGCAGGTGCTGCTTCCTTGTTTTCTATATAGTGCTTGTGCTTTACTGCTCCTTCTGCCCCTGAGCTAATGAACTGTCAGCCCACAGTAGGGTATGCTGCTCAGAACTAGCCTGAGAGCTTGTTCACACCGAAAGCGCGTGCGCTCCAGAGCGGTAGTTGCTGGAACGCACTGCGATCGCTGAGAAACTTCCCCCCTGCGTTTTGGGGGGCGTGGCGGTGCATTGAATTGCCAGCGTTCCGTTCCACTGCAAAAGCAAAAAATAGAGCGAGCCCTATTTTTTGCGTTTGCAGTGGAAAGGAACGCTGGCAAAGTTTTGCCGTGCGTCCGATCGCACTGCGGGCTGGGGGGCGTGGAAGTGGTGCCATTGAATTCAATGCACCGCCACGCCCCCTCCCACCCCAAAACGCGGGGGGAACTTTCTCTGCGATCGCTGTGCGTTCCAGCAGCTGCCGCTCTGGAGTGCACACGCTTTTGGTGTGAACAAGGCCTCAACAGACTCGCAGAGAGCGGATGTAGCAAAAGCAGTGGCACTGGACAAATACTCAACTGATCTGAGGTATGCATTGTTATAAAATGTACATGTTGGAGAGAAACAAGGGGCATGGGTCTAGAATGTGTTTATTTCTGTAAATGTAATTCCAAACTTCTTTTAAAGAACCACAAAACACCTGATAAGATTGTCTAAATGAGTATTATAGTACGGTAATTAAAACCGGTGTCTACCTTTACGGCAGCTCATTTTCAAAATGGTTCTTTTCAGGGAGAACTCTGCAACACAGAAGGAAACAAAATAAAACGATCAGTTGTATCAAAATAACAATATGAAATAACATTTGTATTCAGTGGGTACACGCTGTGAAGAGAACATGTGCACATAAGTGATTTCATTCAGAAACAGTGTCAGGTCTAGTTCCCACCAGCCGGCCGTGCTGAACACAAGATCGCTGATGTGCGCTGGATCAGTGCTCATGTGCTGATCTCGCACTGTTTACTTTTATTTAGGGATGCACCAATACTAGTATCGGTGTCGGTGCCAATGCCGAGTATTGGGGCAAATACTCGTACTCGCCCAAATGCTCCGATGCCTTGCCCGATACTTCCGGTATCAGGAAGCTGGGCAACGAGTAGTTACACGCTGCCCGGCTTCCTGATTGGCCGGGAAGCTGGCTCCATGCTCCCTCGTCACTTGTTCTGAATGCTAAGGAGATGTGTGTTATCTCAGTCAATAAACAGCATTGACTTTAATATCATGGAGTGTGAGTGACTACTTTCATCTATCTACATTTCACGGAGGCATCCATTGTCACCACCGCACCCACCCAGTTGGATTTGGGTTTTTGTCAGGTCAGGAGTGCGATGGGACAGGAGGATTAAATTACACGGCGCCTGGCTTCCTGATTGGCCAGAAAGCCGGCTACATGTTTTCATCTAGTGACGAGAAGCATGGGGAAGGCTTCCCTGCTAATCGGGAAGCTGGGTGGCGAGTCTTTACCAGCCGCCCAGCTTCCCGGCTAAACAGAAAGCCAGGTGGCGAGTCATTACACGCCGCCTGGCTTCCTCAATGGGACTTCAATTCAAAAGAATCTGTACTCGTACTGGATACTGAAATACTGGTATCGGTGCATCCCTACTTTTATTGTTAGAACTTTATAGAATGGCACATCAGAAGCCACTGTGCCTGCAAATTACTATGATTTGAGTTGTCACTGGACAGCTCAGATCACAGTCACAATGTTAATAGCCAATCAGAGTTGCTCTGTACCTCGTGATCGCTGTGAACCAATCAGAGCTATCACAAGTGTAAACACTTATTTACAAACATTTAGCCCATTCACAACAGAGGAAGCTCCCTGCCACTGGCCACCAATGATTGTGGAATCATTTTTTTTTTTTTTTTTAAGGTAAAGAAATGAAAGGAAAGGTAAATGTAAGCAAATCCAGTTTTTGGGTCCTTTTACCTGATTATTAGTTTAAAAAAAAAGAGATTTCTAACTATCACCAAAAAGAAAACAGCACTGAAAAATGGCCTGGTAATGAAGGGGCATATGCAGGCTAGTACTCTGGTGGGTAAGGGCTATTTCCAGGCAGGGGGAAATAACCTCCCATTGTAGTTGGCTTGGCCCCCCCCCCCCGCCCTGGAAGGGCTGACTACTCCTTTATGTCTAGGGGTATGGTGTAAAGGGCATTTACTTACCTGGTCTCCACACCAGCGACACTCACCTCTCTCCCCTCTGTTCCAAATCATGGACTGTCTCTTGCTGTCCTCGTGTATAATGCAGGAATATGGGACCTGCATTGTATGTCTGAGGGCCTCCAGCTGCCGGAGCGGAGGGGTGAAGAGGCTGTAGGCGCCGGTCTCAGGGCCAGCGAGAGTGGGGATCAGGTAAGTAAATGTCTTTTACACAGCTCCCCATGACATTTATTAAACAGTTAACCCTTGCAGTATGGGGGCAGTCTCACTACAAGAGGAGATTTTCTTACAGGCATCACTCCCAGAGGCAGAGGCATGCTGGGATATGTAGTTAAAGCACAGCTGGAGGGCCAGAGTTGCCCACCCTTGCTTTAGGTAGAGCTTCTCGGTCTGTGGGGCTCATTGGGCACTCATTCAGAAAGAAGTGGGGGTGTTTGGTAGGGATAAGTATAGGATGAGAAAGACTGGTGGAAGGCAGAGAGAGCCGGCTCACCAAATGCTGTGGAATCACAAGTCTTAGCATGCCCTGGCATAGAGGATACTGGGACAATCCCGTAAACACTGGGAGAGTTTAGGGGTAAGGTCTGTTTATACTGCTGAGAGACATAACATGCTATCGCTGTAGATATCTATAATGAGATACAAAACACACAGGACATGTAAAGCTGCCATGAACGCGCGCGCACACACACACACACACATGTATAGATATAAATACATACAGCAAACTCACCGCAGCTTCGAAACCCCGCCTCCCGAACACAACTACATGCAGCCAAACTGCCAACTCAACATCTGTATAGAGCTACAGGCAGGACACACCCCCTACAGTAATCACATGACTGAGCCAGACCCACATGACCAACGTAATTAGACTACAGGAAAGAAGTAACGACATCTTAGATGTGGGCAAAGGTTTACAATAATTCCTGATACACGAAGATTCAAATCTATATTCTTTAAAGACGTGGATTTACCGGTGTGCGTGTTGTCTTAGTAAAGAACAACGTGGCTCGGCTGTATATACTTTATATTCTCACAAACATTCGAGCTGTGTCATACGCGGTATATTTTGTCCTTCGAAAATATGGCTGACATAAAAACAAGGCCCCCTCGTAGTCCACAGCTAATACTGAGGGGTGCCGAAAGAGGATTTTTACGAGGTGTTGTTTATTGTTGCCTCTTAAATTATAGTCTGTGTTTGTTACGGTTTGTGAGGTAGTTATTCTAGTTTGCTTTCCTGCTTTATCTCCATGCAGGCAGGTGGAGGACACCTATAGGGGTCCTTCGTAGGGCTGACGCTGCTCGGTGGTCTAGAGCTTCCGGTTTGGGACCCGTTTGTGTGACAGAGACCGGAGAAGCTGCAATCATGTTGGACATATTCGCCTCCATTCCCACTCAGATGGTGAGCCCTAGTGGGGAGTATATGGGGAATTGTGCAGAGCATGCATACATTTTACCATGCATATTGATATTCATATCTACGTACAGTGCGGATACATGGAGCTGAAGAATGCTGTGTATTGAAGGGTGCACTGTATGACAACTTCTGAAAACAGAATTAAATTCTTATCCTGGTGCTCTGCTTTGTAAGAATTAGCTCTTTCATCCCACAGCAATATACAGCCATTAGTAAAAGCCTGATGTGTGTAGATGATGTCCCAGATCTAAAACAATTTCAGCTTAGGTGTGATAGGAAGCCTCATGCAGCCAGCAGGTAGAGGAATGGGAGCTCCAGTAACAGAAGCATAACAGGGATGCATTTCGGAGGAGGCTTGGTAAGGGGGACCCCTCCCCAAAACGCGTTCCTGCATGTGGTGATGTCATTGTGTGCAAAGTTTAGACCTTGGGACTTGGACGATCCTCTCTTCCATCCAGATGTTGCTTGAGGCTTGTTGCACCCGTCCATGGCCAGGGCTGGATGGGCTCAGCAGTTAGGCTGCAGCTAAAAATTGTTTTCATAATCGATTAGCTGCCCGATTATTTTTCCAAATAATCGATTGGTTGCATTAGAAATTCTCTCTCTCCCCCCACCAACTAATCGATAATGAGAATGTTGCCAACTATTCTTGTAATTGATTATCGATTTAATCGATTAGTTGTTGCAGCCCTACTCAGCAGCATCTCCTTTCTTCTGGCTGCCTCTCTCCTCATCCCACACTGCACCACTTTTGTGAGTGTGATTTTATAGGGTTTTTTTTGGAATAGAAGAGAAAACATTTGCCATGAGGGTAGGAAGACACAGAAAAGAGTTATGAGTCACTAGCACACAGAAACCTTCCTTATTGATGTGTCTGTATTGACATTAAATATGATATCACCAACAAATGCAACGTTTTGGGACCACATAGGGTCTGCCTCATGAAGGATCAATCACAGCAGCTTACATAGTGTACATTCACCAAAATGACCTTTGTCCCTGCTATGGTACACTACACCCTCTTCCATTGTCCCCCATCAAGACACAAGATATCGGCTTGTCTCCTTCTTGGGGAAATTGGTCTGGAGCGATTTTGCTTTGAATGCCTATCTCCCGATTAAGCCCCAATGTTTGGGGTGAAACGCGTCGAGGGGCAAAAGAAGGCCAATCCGCTGCACTGTTTGTCACCCTACATATGAGTACAACAAGTTTTGGAAAGTGCTACGTATATCTGCACTTAAAGGACAGTATAATGATGTTGTAATCTTCATTGTAAATATATGGATGGTGTGAGCATTTGGAACTCCCTGTTAGGCGATTTCTCTTCGATGTTTTAAACTGTTTTTTTATTAAGATGTTTCGAAGAAAATATTTCTTGCACACTTGAAATGTCATTTTTATTATGTATTAACTACCTGCTGTCCGGCCATTGTAATTAAACGGCCGGACAGCGGCTTCTTGAGGGCGGGTGGGCGTCTTTAGACGTCCTATCCCGTTCGCTTGTGCCCGCCGCTAGGCGGCCCGCACGAGCGAGAAACCGGCTTTGAATGTAAACAGCCAGCGATGGCTGTTTTACATACAAGCTTTCGGGCGTCTCTACAGACGCCCGAAACGCCGATTACATCCATTGCGCCGCACATGTTACATATCGCCGCGAACGGCAGAATGAGAGCAATAATTCTAGGGCCATCAATCACCGATAACACTAAACCGATGAGCGGTAAAAGCTTTTAAAGCGTCGGCTATGGTCAATTTTGAGTATGGTAGTTTTTTGCGATTAAACGGGTGTGCGCAATTTTAAAGCTTGACATGTTTGGTGTTTATTTACCCGACGTGACCCTGTCTTTTATATTTTACCAGAAAATTGGGTAATATTAGTTGTTTTATAACATAATGTAGGGAGAACAGGGAGTTGTATAGTAAAAAAAAAAAACCCCGTAGGGGTGATTAAATACCACCAAAAGAAAGCTCTATCTGTCCCTAAAAAATGGTATAAAATTAATTTCAGTACAGCGTTGCATGACGGAATAAATGTCAGTCAAAGTACTGCAGCGCTGAATACTGAAAAATGGCCCGGCCAGGAAGGGGGTATAAACACCCCAGTCAGCAAGTGGTTAATAAATGTAATTTGTTTTATTTATCACAGATGGTCTATGAGTACACCCTTAAAGTACACCCTACTAGTATCGGGACATCCCTAGTATGTACTAACTTTTCAGAGCGATGCAGCCTATACACTGAGTGGCCAGATTATTATGACTTGGGATGCACCGATGCCGATACCAGTATCGATATCGGTGCAGATTCCGAGTATTTGGGCAAGTACTCGTACTCGCCCAAATGCTCCGATGCCTAGCACGAGTACTTCCGGTATCAGGAAGCCGGGCAGCGCGTCATTACACGCTGACCGGTTTCGCGATTGACCGGAAGCTGGCCTCGTGAGGTAAGGTTACCTTACCTTAGTATGTGTAGCCTGTCATCCCCCGGGGCCTCTCCAGCGAGAATGGGGCCTTCGCCCGGTACCCAGCCGGAGCCGCCCAATCAGGAAGCCGGGCGTCGTCTAATGACGCGACGCCCTGCTTTCTGATTGGCCGGGAAGCTGGCTTCATGCTCCCTCGTCATCTCATGACGAGAGCATGGAGCCGGCCTCCCGGCCAATCAGAAAGCAGGGCGTCGCGTCATTACACGACGCCCGGCTTCCTGATTAGCCGGCTAGACGGCTCCGGCTGGGTACCGGACGAGGGCCGCGTTCTCGCTGGAGAGGCCCCGGGGGATGACAGGCTACACATACTAAGGTAAGAGGGGACTTTTTTGTTAATCGGAAAGCCGGGTGGCGACTCTTTACACGCTTCCCAGCTAATAAGGAAGCCAGGTGGCGAGTCATTACACGGCACCTGGCTTCCTGAATGGGACTTCCGTTACTCGGTAATTGGTATCGGCGAGTACCGAAAAAAATTATCGTTACTCGGTACCAAAATACCGGTATCAGTGCACCCCTAATTATGACCATCTGACGTTTGTTGGCAAATTAGCTATAATTTTGCGCTGAAGTTGCTAGAGGGCCAGACCATTATAAATAGGGAAGCAGGTTGTTTACCACGACAGTAGAAGTGATTTTTTTTCTGAAGATATGGAGAAACAACGCGATTTAACAGCCTCTGAACGTGGGATGATTGTTGGCACTCTGAGCCATGGAGCGAGTATCAGCAAAACAGCAGAATTCGTTACATGTTCAAGAGCAGCAGCTGTTAAAGTGTTTAACCCCTACGTGACTGACGACGTACAGTGTACATCGCCAGCATCGGGGCTGTTTAAACAGACTCCCGGTGACTTTTGCCGCCGGGACTTGTTTAAACTTGTAAAGCCGACTGTCGGCTTTACAACAGAAGCGATTCTGGCAGTTTTTTTAAATAAAATAAATCTAATAATAATTGAAAAAAAATTTAAAGTCCCCCGCGCGTCGCAACGTAAACACACGTCGGGTGCGCCTATGTATGAAAACGACGAATGCGCTACACATGTTGGGTATCGCCGCGCACGCCGGAGTGAGAGCAATAATTCTAGGGCCAGTATTTTGGGGTATCTCTAAATTGATGACCTGTGGGGGCTTTTAAAGCGTCTTCTATGGACTTTTTGGGGGGTACTGCAGTTATTCGCCGTTTCACGGACGCACGCAATTTGTAAACTGGGCATGTTGGGTATCGTTTTACTCGTTGTAACCTTATCTTTTATATTCATTACAAAAATGGGTATTGTATTGTGTTCTGGGGCATTTAATTAAATTTGTCACTAAATTTTGGGGTTTAATAACGAGTTGCGCTAATATTGTGCTACATAAAAATTTGCAACTACCACCATTATATTGTATAGGGTCTTGGCATTCAGAAAATATATAATGTTGGGGGGTTTTAAGTAATTCTCAGGCCTAAAATGTGGAATATAACATGGGTGCAAAAAATGGAAAAAATGCCTCAGTCATGAAGGGGTTAAAGACTGGACTGTCAGCCGGAAATCTGGGTCTGAACGTGCGAATTGTGGCCGTCAGCGACTAGTCAATGTTAGGGCAGAACGGAGAGTGGCAAGACTGGTACATGGCAACAGAAGGGCAACAGTGCAGTGTCAGATTCCTCGCATCACCTTTCAACATCTCGTGGAGTCACGAGGCGGCCCAACGAAGTCATCTCGTGGCCCAACGAAGTACTAATGGGGTGGTCATAATAATCTGGCCACTCAGTGTATGTCTATTAAGGCTGCTTACATTATGTCCTTTTATTATTATACAGGATGTTTAAAGTGTCAACAGCTAGTGCAGCACTATACATAATAATGGGAGACAGTACAGTTGCATTACAATTCAAGATGGTTAGGAGGACCTTGCTTCTGACATTTTGCATGAAGGTTTTCATATGTATATCTATGTTTGACATGTGACTTATTAAATTATTCATCTGTCATTTTTTTTGTAGGATTACAAAGGCCAAAAACTTGCGGAACAGATATTCCAAGGAGTCATTCTCTTTTCAGCAGTAAGTAAATAGAACTTACATTTTAAAATGGGAAGATATCTGTTTGTAGATTATTTTAGAAAGAAAACATACTGGCTGATCTGTTTACATCAAACTTTTACCTATGATGCTACGTAACTTTGCTGTTTTTATGTCACATAAAAATAGTGATATTTGGGAAGATCTCTGTCCATGTGCTGGTGTTTTAGCATGATGGAGTGACAAGGTGGAGCAAAAAGCTTTGCTGTGCACCAGGGTCCCCACAGGCATGCAGATTGGGTGGGAGGAGGTTTTAGCTGGTTCCAAAAAATGCCCCTTATATTCTTAGTGGCACACAGATTTTTATTTGGTTACTTTTTAAAAGAAGGTAACCAAATTAGGGATGCACCGATACCGGTATTTCGGTATCGCGTGGCGATATTTTTTTTTCTGTTCTCGCCGATACCGAAAGAAAGTTCCATTAAGGAAGCGAAGCGGCATGTACTGGCTCGCCACCCGGCTTCCCGATTAGCAGGGAAGCCGTCCCCATGCTTCTCGTCACTAGGTGATGAGAAAGCATGGAGCTAGCTTTCTGGCCAGGAAGCCAGGCGCCGTGTTATGACGCGGCACCCGGCTTCCTGATTGGCCGGGAAGCTGCCTCCATGCTTCCTCGTCATGAGGTGACGAGGGAGCATGGAGCGGGCTTCCCGGCCAATCGGGAAGCCGGGCAGCATGTAATGACTCTCTGCCCGGCTTCCTGATACCAGAAGTATAAGGCTAGGCATGGGGCATGTATTTGGGAGAGTACGAGTACTCGCCCAAATACTCGGCATCAGCACTGATACCATAAACCCTAAATCCCTAAACCAAATCATAAAAAATGTAAAGCGTGCATTGTATGAAAGTTGTTTTATTATACTATTTTGAGAAATCATGATTCCAATATAGTCTTCCTGGAAAAACTTTGCTACAATAAGGCTACATTCACACAAGAACCTATGTATTAAATAATATGCATTCATTTGTGTCTTTTATATCTGCCTAGAATTCCGCTTAAGAGTAAATCTGTGCTTTGCCCATGCAAGCCAAAGTTACAGGTTCACTTTACTGCAGACGTCCACAGACACAAATACCCTCCTTCCATTCGCTTTCACGCCATTCCATTCAGGAAAGTCCTTTGTAAAGTTGCTGGTGTTGTAGCTAACACAAACCAATTGACTGTGTGACAGAGCTGACAGGGTTAGGGTGGTCACTTAGATTGAGTCACATGGTCCACCATATTAGGGTATTTTCAGGTAGTGCTGGGTATTTCCTTGGCCCCTGAAACCAAATGAAGTCGCGGGAAATGTAGTGAAGTGAAGGTAGGCATGTGCCTTCCTTTAAAGTGAATCTTTGCTGTTGGGTTGAAGGAAGAAACAAGCACCTTGATGTTTCTGTAGGTATCATCAGATGTCTTTCAGTGTACTGCAGGAATTCTGAAAGCAAATGCCTATTGTGCTCTGACATTGAGAATCTGGCTCACGTCTCCCTTCTGCACCTGATTATTAGTCATTAAGCCTGCACATTACAGTAGAGAACCACTGGTGATGTGCAGGGACATAACCTAGAGTTGGAAGGTAGTGGGGGGGGGGCCTCCCGGACTATGAAATATATCTTTTAGCTTTGGATAGATTAGAGAAGGGATTGGAACTACTGTCATTTTTAACTGCTGCCTGTGTCTGTCCCATTGGGTGTTTTTTGTTTAGTTTTTTTTCTCATTTCCTGTCAAATGATTAAAACTGGAAGTGTTTTTTTTTTAATGCAGCATAGTAGTTACAGAAAATGTGTTGAGAAAATACATTTGTTCACTTTTTAGTATTTTGAGTCTGTCAATGAGAACAAGCAGACAGAGAATAAAGTCGGAGTGAAGTTAGAACTTCTGATTTGCATGCTTGTTGCAGGTCAGTGACTCCTAGTTTTGGAGCCATTAGATCAGCATGGCACAGAGAAGTAGCATTTTCAATAGTCCGCAATGGCAGATTCTTTGTTTCTCTCATCCCAGGTTTCCATTAAAGGCTAGCCATGACAGGTAATGATTGACAGGATTGATTTAATGAGCAATTCTATTTCTTTCAGGTTGTCGGCTTCATCTATGGCTATGTGATTGAACAGTTTGGATGGACCGTATACATCGTAATTGCTGGCTTTGCTGTGTCTTGCTTGGTATGTTTTTATCTTTACCCTTTAGCTTACTATTCAGAGCTGCTCTTTGCGGAAGGGCAGTAAAAATTTTAATAAAAGTGGAAGCTGATCGTATTGTTTCTTTTATTCCTGTGTAAATTGCAGTTAACACTTCCTCCGTGGCCCATGTATCGTTGTCATCCACTGAAATGGCTTTCCGTCCAGGACAGTGCTACAGACGAGAAGAGACAGCAAGAAAAAAAATTCAAAAAGCACAAGTAATTTTGACACTTAAGGGCCCAACTACCAAGTCACATGACCATCAGTGAAAAATGGACTTGAACTGATATTCTTTCTGCTAAGCAGAAAATTGTACTGATAGAAATTGTTACGGTATTGTATAAACGTCCAATAAAATGGCCACGCTGTTGTTTATGTTTTGACTCACTTTCTTCTTGCTATGTTATGTTTTTTTTTGTCAGTGTTTATCTTGGTTGAAATAAAGCTGAGCTACAGGCAGAAAAAAAAACCCCACAATTTAGTGCAGTTATTTATTCCTGAAATGTATTGTCGTATTATAGTAATTGGTCAGTCTGCTAAAGAAGCTGAGAAAATATGACTTTTGGAGCACATATAGTTTTGGTAAGCTCAAAAAAATTAGGATACTTACACTTTTTTTTGGAGTCCATTAACCCCTTCGTGACGGGAGACGTACACTGTACGTCCCGCCACAAAGGTACACTGTACGTGACGTGATTTGCTGCACTAGAAGGCTGGTAACCGCTGAGAATCAGCGGTTATCATTCATTAATGGATGCCTAAGTTTAGAGGCATCCATTAATGAAAGGGTTAACCTTTTTTCAGACACCCGATACCTGAAGATCGGGTGTCTGAGAGCCACAGCAGAGCCGGCAAACATTCTGACAGCTCGTATAGATCTAGAGATATCTCTCTCGATCGTATACTGGCTTTTTTTTTCACTTTCAGGAATAGATACATAATGTATCTATTCCTGAAAGAAGATAGTTTCAGTTTTCTGATCGTTGTTGGAACGATCAGAAAACCTTTAGTGACAGCTGAATCCTGAACTGCTGCAGGATCAGTGTCACTAACTTATTATCGGCTGTTCTGAAGTTTGAAGCAGCCTGATAATAACCAAAAATGTATTAATTTATCAAGCAGTAATAGTGAGATTAATTCACAATGACTGCTTGATATAATTAAATAAATAAAATAACATTTTTAAGTTTAAAAAAAAGTGAAAAGTGTAAAAAAAATAAGGGACAAATTAATGTATTTATTGCATTTTTTTTTTAGCTGTGCTGGTTTTGTAAAAAAAAATGCTACAAATCAAAACGGGGAAAAAGGTTTTTTTAACGTTTTTTCCTCCTTTTTTTATATTTTATTTGTCCTAAGTGAGGCGTTAGACACACATATGTGATATAAATATATAGCCCTATCTGTCCTCTAAAAAATATATATAATATGTGTGGGTGCACTTTGTAAGAAAGTATATTACTGACATGGAAGAATCACACAGCAAAAATGTCAAAAGTGTGTCAGTCATTTACGAACAGAAACTAAAAACAAGCTCAGTCATGAAGGGGTTAAAGGGCAATTCCACCTTTTTCAGGAGAAACAGTCCAATAAATGTTGGGATGCTGGAACAATGCAACACCTGGAAGAAGGTGAACTAGGCCAATTAGGTACTTGTAAAGGAACGAAGAAAAAGGGAAAGTGCTTGAAGCCTTACACATTCAACCCTTAACTTCAGGTAGAGGAAGCTTGGACAAAGTAAATATGTACAAGTAAGAAATCCATAAGGAGCTGAGAGACGCAAAAGGAAATCTGCAATCCTTGAGCGGAGATGTAAAAAAAAGACAGAACAGAAAAGTAGGAAAGAAGACTTTCAAATATTACCCAGGAGCCTTAAAATGTGAGAGGATGAAGAGATGATAGGGATGTACCAAAAGTAGTATAGTCATGGGCAAAAATATTGGCACCCCTACATTTGTCAGATAATTCACCACTTCACGCAGAAAATTGTTGCAAGTACAAATGTTTTGGCATTCTCATGTTTATTTCTTTTGTTTGCATTGGTGTGACATAAAAAAAAGTTGAGGAAAAAAAAGCCAAACCTGACACATTCCACGCAAAACTCCAAAAATGGACTGGACAAAATTATTGGCACCCTCAATATTTGGTAGCACAGCGCTTGGAAAAAATAACTGAAATCAATCGCTTTCTGTAATCATCAATGAGTTTCTTACACCTCTCTACAGGGATTTTGGAGCACTCTTCTTTCCCCAACTGCTCCAGGTCTCTCAGATTGGAAGGGTTCCTTTTACCAACTGCTGTTTTTAAATCTCTCCACAGGTGCTCTATGGAATTTTGATCTGGACTCATTGCTGGCCAGTCCAGTACGCTACAGCGCTTTGTCTGAAACCATTTCCGGGTACCTTTTGACGTGTGCTTTGGGTCATTATCCTGCTGTGAGACCTAAGACGGAGACCCAACTTTCTGACACCGGGCCCTACATTGCACCCCAGAATTCTTTGGTAGTCTTCAGATTTTATAATGCCATGCACACAGTCAAGACATCCAGTGCCTGAAGCAGCAAAGCAACCCCAAAACATCAGTGAACCTCCACCATGTTTGACTGTAGGGACTGTATTTTTTTCTTTAAAGGCCTCATTTCTTTTTCAGAAAACAGTAGAATGATGGGCTTTACCAAAAAGCTGTATTTTGTTTCGTGTGGCCACAGCACATTCTCTCTAAAGGGTTTTGGCTTCCTCTGGCTTTTCTCTCCCGTTCATTGAAGGACACAGGCAACAGATCGTAGATCCTGAATGGTAGGGTAATATCGCCACCTGCAGGAGAAGGACGCTAGGCACAAAACTAAAGACCAATTACAGCCTAGGGGCGGCCCCTGCCGGTGGCCAAACCCCCCACCTGCTGACAAGTCTCCAGTTTTTTGCCTAGCGTCAGGAGTAAGGAGCTAAAAATTTTTCTCTGAAGAATTTTTTTCCTTTCTTCCGTTTGGCTGGATTTTCTTCTAGCAAGTGTCCCCAGGGCGACAGGCTGGATGACTGTAGATCCTTGTAGTCTCCCCTGGGTGACCGACGAGCGCATGCAGACTCTGCTACGGTGGGTCGGCTGCGAGGGGTGGTCCTCCCCGACGCCTCATGGGATTCGTCCCGGGAGAGGGACCTTTGACCGGGGGCTCCGGCCCACCGGTCGCGGCTCTCTCCGCAGGCTGGC